GCCTGCGGAGAGCCTCCCACCGGGACCGCGCTCCCACCTCCCCTTCGTCGGCGCCGACCACGCCGTCACCGCGTCCGAGCTCTTCTCGGCATCGGGAGCGGCTTCTCGCAGCCCTCAGACATCGCTGGGTCTGGGCGCGGTCAGGACTGTCCATTCCCACCAGCAAGGCAGACACAGCAGCCACTGTTATTCCAATTACATACTACCTAATAAAGTCATAAAGTTATTCAACACGACTGGGTCTTATCGTACGTTAGAGCCAGATTAATTTCAATGAGATAATAAAAGGTTAGTAAATTATAATACCATTCTTTCTTCCAAAATACTTAGGTTTTAAATATATTCCCACGGCGGCAGCCACGGGCTAAACGGAACCTCATAAAGGCACCTTAAGATGCACCAACAGAGACAAAATAGGAATTTTCTGGAAGCGTTACCAGAAATTCATTAAAAGCAGAGGTCATAGGGGAGACATGGGAGCACCCCGCCCTTGTCCAACAAGTGACCACACAGACGTAACGGCCAGTCAGGGCTTCCAAAGCTGCGGCACAACGGGACTGTCAGGGGCTGCGATGTCCGAGTGCGCTGAGCACAGACCCTTCTAAATTCTTACACCAGCCCGTCCTGTAACTGCAATGTCGTTCCACATTGTGCTAGAAACCTCGTACAGGTCAGTTCTCAACAGGGAGAACTCAGGCTTCAGCTTTCCAGTTAAACAGACTCACGAGACAAATACACACCTGATAAAACTTCAGGCCTCAAATTCACTCATGCTGTTTACCATCTAAAATCTAAGATTTAAGAAACAATTTTTTAAATCACACATCAAAAAAGCAGGGGAGGGAAAACAACACAGCCGTAGCCCCACCCCCCTGCCCCAATCAACAAATTGAGCAAACTTCAATTAGCCGCCCAATTGAGGTTTCAGTTCCTTGCCCTATATAAAATCCTGGGTTAGATCTTTAATTTGAAGTTATTATGACTATGTTAAACCACTAGGGATCTATTAAAGATCCCAAATTCCCATCTTTTACCCTCTTTAGGTAGAGAGATAAAGGTGATCATTTTCATTCATAAACATAGATAAAAAGACAGGAAGGAAAGAGGAGCCGGAATGCCAGAATAGAAAGTCACTATATAGCCAACTCCCCACTAAATGATACTAGGAACCAGCCATTCTGAAGAGCATTTCCAAAACTGTTTCCTAAAATGTATCAGCCGATAAGCAACAAGTAAGCAAAAGCCCAGGGTCAGGCACAGAGCTGACTTTCAATAAATGAATGCGGAAGAAGGAAGAGCAGACAAAGCTCTGTGGGTACCGGCCTCCCCAGGGTCCCCTACAGCCGCCTCCCCGCGCAGAGCTGGGGAGTGGGAAACGGGCCGCCCGGGACTGGGGACAGAACAACCAGAACCGGCTAACCGGCCCTGCAGTCCCCAACGGCAGGCCTAGGAGCCTGAAACACCCTTCACTGTAAAGAAGGAAACTCCGGAACGAGCCAGAGACCACCTACTCAGCTGTCACCTGTTCGGGGCCTAATTCACAGTTAGAATCATACTGACGGCAGATCTGTGTTTTCTTCCAAGACTCAACAGAAGGACTGACTTAACTTACACTTAATGGGGAAGAAATCATACAATTGCCACAGAAGTCGTCAAAAACACGCTCCGACGGACACTGCTCTTTCAAAGGCTACGCAGGTCCCACGAGGTCTGATGCCTCCTGCGAAGCAGCCTGACAAGGTCAACGGCCAAAATAATCAAGCTGACTGTTCCCATCGACAACAACGGAGAAGCCACGGGGTTCTCTTCATCCTGCGCTGCCCTGGGTCCTGACACCGAGCAGAGCTCCCCAAGTGAGGCAGAGGCCACTGTGCAGGCCGCACTGGGACGAAGATGCGGTGAACCCAGAAGGAAGGCGAAGGGCCCCGCACGGCAGTGCCGCCTTCCCGTGCCCGTGCACGCGCCGGCACAGGCGGGGCTCCTGCGCGCTGCCGGCTCGTCCTCTCGGGCGCCTCCTGCTCACGCTGCGCTACTCCGCATGCAAACAGCTGCCTCCCCACCCGTCCGTCCCTTCCCTGTCGCTCTTCCCGAGAAGGAGGCAACCGCGATCTCTCCGAGGGCCGGGGCGGCTCTAGGGTGACAGGCAACTAGGAGTTGAGTTCCAGTCCCGGTGACCCTGAGTCAAACTGGGACTCTGAGGCCGTTCCAAAGCCAGCCCGAATCCCCCGTCCTCGAGTCAAGCGGAGGGGCTTCTGGTCTCCGAGGTGCCCCTCCCAGTGAAGACGGATCGGGCCGGTGTGGAGGCAAGATCTACAGGGACAGTCCGAGATAGATACCAAAACGGCCTGATCTGCAGGAATAAGCTGGCACCCGTTTTAACCAATCCCAGATCTCCTTTCCAAATACAAGCCCTCGTCGCTCAGAGCAGCCCAACAGCTTGGTAGGTACAGTTTTAAGAGCCTGTATCCAGACCTAAAGCACCTGAGGTCACACTGCCAAGGAGACCAAGATGAGTGGTAATAACCAACCTTGCAAAATACAAAAAAAGATTTCCGCAAGTACCAGCCGACCCAGGCGTTAGCTCACACTGTGTGCCCTGCGCTGTATGTACGTAAACAAAACGGGACTCCTCAGCACGCAAACAGCTGCTTTCGACTGTCACGCCAGCGGTGAACGCCTTTTCCACGGAAGACCCCAGGAAGCTGGGGCACACACACCAAATCCCGAGCTGCTCGCCCGCGCGCAGCCTGTACCGGCCGGCTCCCAGGCACTCCTCGGAGCAGGTGTGACCTTTGAGATACGTCCACCCCAGCTGTTTCAAGTCTTATTAATAGGCCCCCAGAGCTCGCTATCGGTGACTCCAGCACCTCGTGTCCTGCGCAGAAGCTGCCAGCAGGAAGGTCTCCACGTCGAAAGCACCGAGCTGGCCACCAGGCCCCTTACGTTCTTCCCGTATGATGGCCAGTGGCACTTAGTTGTCTTTAACTTCATTCAAAACTGCATTAGACCGCATTGCGACAGCTGTCATACAAGCGTGCACGTAAGAAAAAATTCATCAAAACGGGTGAATTTTTGTGCAGCCATTTTCATATTGAAGGGAGAATAATATACACATACAACACTTTTGGCGTATTATGCTTTATCATTTCAAAAAAGGCAAAAACCAACTGAAATGCAAAAAAAAAAAAATACTTGTGCAGTTACGGACAAGGGGCTGTGACGGACTGAACGTGTCAGGGCGGCTGGCGACGTTCCTTGGTGCTGGTGATATTTTGGGCAGATAACTCTTTGCCGCGGGGCCATCTTAGGCGCCGGCAGACGTTCCGCCCCACCCCGACCTCTGCCCACTGGAAGCCCATAGCGGGCGTCGGCGCATCCTCAACACATCTGATTCAATGCAGCTATTGGGGGGAAAGCCATACGGGCTTTCTGGCCACCCCAATAGCATCAAGGCACCCCCACCTAAGGTGCAAATCATCCACTGTCACCCGCGGGCAAGGGAGAAAGGCCATCCCCCAATGTCACTTGGCGGTTTCTCCCCACATGCCAAGATGATAACCCACAGCTGGTCAAGAGGCCGCACGGAGGGAAAAGCGAGAAAGGAAGCCGCTCTCCTGATCATGCCTCTCGCGCCCGCATGACAGACGGACACCTGAACTGAGTGACTCAGGTCGCCGTGCCACTGTCCACCGCGCAGGCGGAGGGTGGGCGATGCGGCCGGCTGTCCAGCGGCCGCAGCTCCAGCCCGCCCTGAGAAGAGCCCGTAGGCACCCGGGTCCTCCAGGCCTGGGGCACGGGCAGGGAGTGTGCGGGGCCTGGCTTGTCAAGAGTCCCGTGGCCAATACAGGCCGCTTTCTCGGGTCAGACAAGGAGACGGTTTCTCCGCAGAGGCTGGTTGGAGCCACAGTTTCCCAGCAGCGTCATCCTCAGCCGCGTTCGCCTCCTCAAAGGGCTCAAATCCCAAATACTGAGCGCAGACCTCTTGGCGTCTATCGTATAATGTTTATATTCGGCGCGATGGAAAGCTCTGGAATTCAAATCTGCACAGTTCGGACCACATCCTCCCCTTTCTGATCTCGCCCAGGTAACAGTTTCCAGAGTCTCAGGTTCCTCACCTGGGAAACGAGAGCGACAGCCCTGCCCGTGGCACCGGCGTCCCGGGATCCTGCTGAGACTCACCTGCGCGGGCCCTAAGAAGTGACGTCAGACGGCAAAGGACTAGACCAGCGCGGGCCGCTGCCCGGGGGCGCCGGTGGGAGCGGGGAGGAAGGGCTCCGAGCTGGAAGCGGCGCTGGAAGGGAAGCTGCGAGCAGGGGAGCAGCGATTACGAGCTGTAGGCTGTACGTCGAGGGGCGCGGACGGCAACGGGCTGGACGATTCCTCAGGAGCCGGCGCCCTGCCTCGCCTTCACCGCGCACTGACGGCGGAAGGGGGACAGTCAGAAACGGCGAGCGGGTGCTCGGCGTCCCGCCTACGGGCGGGGAGCGCGCGGTCGGCCCGGACACCGCGTCTGCAGAGCGCGGTCGCCGAAGACGGCGGCGGCACAGGCCTCGCTGCCGCGCCCGCGCGCCGCGCGTCTCTCCGGGCGAGAGGTGGGCACAGGGCGCTTCGCAGGGAAAGGAAAGAAAGAAGGGCCAGCCGTTCCACAGCATCGGGCAAACCCCAGCGACTCGGTGGGCGGGCGCCCCCCCGGAGGCCCTGGCGCCGAAGACAGCGACACCCGCGGCCGCGGGGCAGGCTGGGTCTCGCCCGCCGCAGAGCGGCCGCACAGGCGGCGCGCGGGGCGAGACCTGCCTCCCGAGCCCGGTACGGAGACCTCAGCGGCCGCGGGCGCCGCGCGCCCCGCACGGGACCGACAGGCGACACCCGCTGCCCAAGTGCCCCGGCGCGCCGGCGGCCGCGCGACAGCGACGACGCCCGGGGCCCGGGAACCGTGACGACCCGAGGAGGGGAGGGAAACCGAGACCCCGGCCCGAGGGCAGGCGGCCGCGCGCGGGTACCTGGTGCAGGGCTGTCAGGCCGTCCACGTTGGCCGTGTTGATGTCGGCCCCTCTGGCCAGGAGCCTCTTCACCTCGTCGATGTCCCCGCTCGAGCAGGCAGCCAGGAAGACCGCGCCGTCCTCGAAGCGGACGCGGGGGGCCCCGCGGCGGGCACGCGTCTGCCGCTCGGCGGACTCCTGCTCGGTCTGCGAGCCCCGCCAGCGCCGCAGCTGCTCCGCCCGCCGCGCGCGCGCCGACTCGGCCCGCTTCCCGCCCAGGTGCTCCAGCTCGGCCATCGCTCGGGCCGGCGGCCGCGGCCGCCCTGCCGCCGCTAGGTCGCTGCTGCCCCGGGGCCGCCGCCGCCTCCCTCAGAGCGCGTCAGCCAGGAGCAGAAGGCGGAGACCCGCGCGCGACCATCTTTACTGCTCCGCCGCCGGCACCGCCCTCGCGCTCCCTCGGCTTCAGCACGCAGGCGCGCCGCGCCCCGGGGCATCACGGGACTTGTAGTCGGAGGCCGGCGCCGAGGGCGCCCCCTGGCCCTCGGGGAACTACAATCCCTGGATGCATCAGGAAAGGGGCGAGCACCCGCTGCTCCCTACCTCTCTTGGGACCCGCGGGGTCACCTTTGCCCCAAAGCTGGAGCCGAGTCCCGCGCCGGCGGCAGCTTCTGGTGGCATTTTGGGAGTCGTAGTTTATTCTCGTTACGACCACCAACTAACCTCGGCTTCCTAACGATCACCTCGGGCCTTCGAAGTGCAAAGGGCGCAGGAATTGCCCCTATTTCCTGTTGGGGAAAATAGACGCGAAGTGCCTGGTTCTAAATCTAGACTTTAACGTGATAACACGGAATGCGTTACCACGTGTTCATCACAGTAGGTGCCAACGCGCGTGCGAAGGAGGACCCCGCGCGCGCGCGCGCGCGCGCGCGCAACCCACCGCCCCCCCCTCCACCGCATCGCATATTACACACAGTTCCGAGGACCATGACACGTGCTCCGGGGAGAGGTGCTGGAGAGGACGCCTCCAGTCACGGTCCCCGACAAGTCAGTCGTCTTCTCCGGGCCTCCTTCCCGGCTTGGAGAAGGGGTATAATAAAGTCTCTGGCATCCATGCGGATATAATAAGGTAACACACGGAGGGACACCAGTGGTGTCCCTGGCATGTGCCAGCGCATGAGAAAATTAAGGTTCTTTCGCTCTCCCTTCTCCTTTACCCTTTGCATGAACCTTAAACTCCCAGGAGACAGAATGGATGTCTGTCTTCCACGATTCACACCCCCCCACCCCGCCCCAGCTACAAAAAGACCCGATGGAGCACAGTACTCACCTCCTAAGGCAGCGAGTGGGACATTGTCACACTCGCAGAGAATTTGGTTACAGAACCTGTCACACTGGTTTAATAACTATACCCCCAGGTCCCTAGCCCTGGACACAATTAATTAGACGTGTTATCCATAATGGAGAATATATACAATTACGAGGTGCTTTACACTTTTCAGTGTGTTTGAAATTTTTCATCTAAAAATGCTGCAAAAATTATTAGGTCATCGTAAAGGGAAACTTGATTACATCCCATCATGCGAACACCCGCCTGCGCCACACCTCCCCCTGCGATGAACTGAGACACCAATGAAAAGCTACATGGAATTGTAAAGCCGTACATTTAATAATACTATATTAATCTACAATATGCTTTAATTAGGTGTTCTTAAATAATTTATAAACTCATTAAGCCTCCCAGCATCTTTGTGAACCAGGAACAATATATCGTTCCTCGTTTTCCTTGCTCTGCGTGTCAGTTTACAGCCACCCTAGAGTCTGCCTCTTCATCTATCGCCACAAAAACTCTGAGCGACACAGACGTTGCACAACGACTTGCCAACGTTCCAACTCGGCGTCTCGCTGGCAATTAAACTACCCAGAAGCCCTCGCAAAGCTCTCCTTCCGGTATGAAAGGACCGCGGATACCAACCCCAACGGGGAAGACGACGCAGGAAAAAGCCGGGCGGGCCAGGAGACCACCCTCCCCGGAACCGCGCCTCCGGCCGGGCGCCCTGCGTGGGCGGAGCCCGGGGCCCACGTGACGCCTGTCGTCGAAATCCCAGGACGCGCCTCCGACGGCCGCCCACGTGCAGCGTCTAAACTTTACGTTCCTGCTACACAACGGCCCGCTCCAGGACAGTATGTATCATTGAAATGTCTATTTTACTGACATCCTGGTTTCTTTCATAAAGTCTTTTTAATTGGGGTAACATTTTCAAGGGTCAATAATGTTACATTTCTTTTGGCTCTATTGTTTTCACATTCAGAGTCAGGAAAAGAAAGAGACGTCTGTTGCCAGTTGTATAAATAAGCGAAAACTGACCAAGTCCAGGTTAAACCCCTACTTTCCCAAAAGGCATGGACTTAAATCTCAACAGGGCGAATTCAGTCTCAATACTAGGACGTTCCAGGAAGTACTCTCTTACCTATCTATTTTATTTGCTTTCCCCCCAATCCCCCGAGTACTGGGTTGGCCAAAAAGTCCGTTAGTTTTTTCCGTACCATGGCTCTAGTATAGCTTGGTTGTCTTTAACTTCATTCGAAAAAATCTTATTAGATTGTAGTGTGACAGCTGTCATACCAGCGTGTTTAAAAAAAAACTTATCAAAATTGAATTTTTGTGCAGCCATTTTAATAGGGAAGGTTGAAGGTACACAACATTTTTGGTGTATTATGCTTTATTATTTCAAGAAAGGTAGAAATGCTAATGGAACGCCAAAAAAGATTTGTGCAGTGTATGGAGAAGGAGCTGTGATTGACTGAATGTGTCGAGTGGTTTGTTAAGTTTCTTGGTACTTTTGACACTTTACACAAATCACTCTTTGCTGTGGGCTGTCTTGTGCATTGGAAGATGCTTAGCAGCACCGCTAGCCTCTCCCCACTGGAAGCCAATAGCGGGAGATACCTGACATACTCAAAATATCCAAATCAATCAAGTTATTAGTGAAAATGAAAAATGTCTTTTTTTTTAGGGATAAAAAGTACAGACTTTTTGTCCAACAAACAGTGAAAGTAGAAAACCTTCTTTGGGTATTTTATATAAAATATGTAGCTAAATTCCTTGGGTAATTTACATACACACTTCCCTGGAGAGGAATGTGTCTTTCAGCTGTGTGATTATGGAAAGCAGTACTATTTTTAGTCTAATTAATTTAACTGGCTCAGCCAAAAAGATGTTATGCTACCAAAATAAAACAATTCATTTATATAGAATGTAATTCTGAAATTACAAGCTTTTCAGAATTAATATCATTCAAGTTTTTTCTGCAACATCTTCCCCCAGCCAGGACTCTCTGAGAGTAAACTTATGCACTCAGCTAACTAAACAAACATGGTAAAGGTACTAAATAAACTACTCTAAAGATAATATATTTCATATGCAAGTGATTAAATGCTGACAAATGCTAATTCTGTGCATACATAAAATATAAGTTTTGTGCATTTAAACGTACTGAGCTGGCTATGATGCATATACATAGAGGTATAAAGAACCCTATTAAGTAATGTCCCACATACACAAAGCACAAATTGCACTGTTAGAAGGCTCCGTGTTTGAAAGCAGCGACACCTGCACAGCTGGTGAACTCTTTCAGCCCAGCCTCCATTCCCCCGTTCCCACGCCTCCCTCTGGTGGACAAACGGGAACTGTACGTTCAACCCCTTGGGGTGTTTTCCTTGTTGGATCCAACCCTTTGCGTTCGGTTGCCAAACCTACAGGTATTTGTTCGTTTTCTCAGGCCATGCCTCCTCTCCACCGTACTCAGCACAGTTCCTGCTTTTTCTAGGCGGCATTTTTAAGACACGTTTCCGAGAGAACCACCCAGGAAGAAATCGGCTTCGGTTTTGAAGACGAAACTGCCCCTGAGATCCAACTTCAGTTAGGGGAGGAAGGGAGTAACTGATCGCTCACAAGCCTCGTTAGCCGGTTCATTTCTGCGACCAGCGGCAGGGTCCTCGGGACCCCAAGGCTGATCAAGTGCAGAATCAACGCGGGGGTCACAGTATGGGCGGGCCGGCCGGCCGGCCACCTCTCCCGTGGCACCGCTCTCCCAAAGCCGGTGGGGGCGGAGCGCAGTGAGACGCGGGTTTGGGGCGGAGGTGTCCCCGGTGGCCCGTCCTCTGGCGCCCGCCGGGTGTGAGCCTGCGTCTGGGCGGCTCGGCAGCCCGCAGGAGCTCCCGGGAAGGGGCCGCGCAGCGGAGGCGGAATGAGGCTCGGCGTCCAGTCCTGACTTCCGCCCGGCCAGCAGCCTCCGCAGCCCGCCGCTCGGTTCCGAGTTCTAACGGCCGGCACGATCGCCGGGCTCAGGCCGCACCCTTGACGTCCATCCGCGGCCTTAGGCGCGTCCTCCGTGTCCCGAGAAGTGCCGCACCACGAATCTTCCTGCTCTCTCCACTCGCCCTCCGGGGCTGGTTTCCAGCGCCTTCTCCGCTCGGACCACACAGCCAATCTGGCCGCCCGCCGGAAACCAGGCTCGGAGCAGCCCGCTCACAACTGAACCAGCCTTCCGTGTCGCGCGCTCGGTGTTGAACTCGAGCGGGCCAATGAGCGGCTGCGTTCGTTTCCCCGCCCCGCACTGAGGACCAATGGCGACCCGCGCCGGCAGGAGGCGGGGCGACGCCCCTACGGTTCGTACAGGCGTAAGTGGAGGCCGGCTCGCCAGCTGGCGTGCTGTGAGGTGGTCGCAGCGCGTAAGCAGGGGAGTTCTGTCGGGTCCTGGCGGGGGTCCCTGTGGACTTGGGGGGCCGTCCTGCTCCCGCGTGCTGTGGGGGAGCCTCCAGGGCGGGGCCCTCGGGGTCCGACGGTCAGCTGGTGGGGAGGCGGGCGGAGGAAAGCGCTGGCTCGGGCCCCGCCCACCCCGGGACTGCACAGCGGCCGAGAAGCCACAGCGGCGGAGGGGGCCCCCGTGATAGTCTGTGGGAACTCTACGGCCGCGCGGGGCGCGGAGCGAGGTGGGGAGGGGGCGAGGCGCATTCCTGCCGGGGAGGCGCTCCCCTCGATGCGCGGGACCGCAGTGCGCGGGAACGGGTAGCGGCGCCTGAGCTGGTGCAGGGGGCGTGGCGTCGCTGCGTCCGGGCTGGCGCGGGGGGCGTGGCAGCGGCAGCGGCAGCGGCAGGGCTCGGTTGCCGTACTCCAGTCCGCGCGAGCACAGGCGGGGTCGGGGCCTCCTTTAGCGCGCGGCCGGCGCTCCCACCCGTGTGCCCGCCGGGGCACCGCGCCCCCGCATTAGGCACACGTGCACTTGAAGCCGTATGACCTGTATATAGAAGGTGGAGAAGGGGTTCACAGGAAGCATGTATTTGTCCTTCCCTAAACGGAGACCCCGTGCTAGAACTCCAGTCACTACTCTGTTTCAGAGCTGCTCTTGTCCCCTACTCCCCGCCGTGCGCCCCAGCGAGCCCTGAGTGTGGCGGAGCCGGTCAACCGCGGCCCCGTTAGGAGGCACCATGCAGAGGGCCTCGCGTCTGCGGAGAGAGCTGAGCCTGTTGGCCACCGAGCCCCCGCCCGGCATCACCTGCTGGCAAGACACAGACGAGACCGGCCTGCGAGCGCGTAGGTGCCCGGTGGGAGGGGACCGATGGCCCCGCTGGAGGCTGTGCAGAAATGCGAACGTTTGCCTCTTCGCAAGTGGGGAACCATCCGGCGTCTAAGTGCCCACCTTCTTTCTACCCCAGTCCGTTTCCATTTGTAAAAGGTTAACTTGACGTCTCTTCGTGGCCCTTTATCGCACCTTCACTGATGCATAGCCAAGGGGTGAGCGTCAATAGCTCAAGTATCTGAGGCCATACAGGCAACAGAAATGATGAGGACGCTACGGTCCAAACGAAGCAAGTCTGTACCCAGCGTCGTCCAGCTCGTGTGGACCTGTGTGTCCTCAGCCTGACGCCCTCGCTGAGCGCGATGGTACAGTTTGAGGACAGGCTGAAGCCCCGAAAGAATTCCTGTCCCCTGCCCAGCTTCTCTAAGACTGGAGACGTCCCTGGGTCTGCGAGGCGGTCGTTCAGATCATCCCATCGTCTCTTCACTGTCTGTTTTTCCTTTTAAGAAATAATAGGTGGGGCCAACACGCCTTATGAGAAAGGTGTATTCACGCTGGCAGTGATCGTTCCCGAGAGGTTAGTGTGGGTTCGAGTCTAAACCTGCAGGTAAAGCAGCCATTGGAAGGCAGAGCAACGGGGGGGCTCAGGGGCCTGGGTATCAGTCTGCCGGCCGTGACGTAAGGCCCAGTGTCTGACCTGTGAAGGGCCCGGCCCAGGCTGTGGGGCGATGGGTGTTTCAGTGTCATCATTTCTAGTCTGCTGGTGTGCGTGAATGTCCATCATGAGGAGGTGGGGGGCTGGCCTCTCAAAGGCTGTCTTCCTGAGCCTTCACGGGAGGGAGCCAAGCAGCAGCATTGTAACAAAGTTTCTGTGTTGTCCTGTGCTTTCAAAGGTACCCGTTTGAACCTCCTCAGATCCGATTTCTGACTCCAATTTACCACCCCAACATCGATTCTGCTGGAAGGATCTGTCTAGATATTCTCAAGCTGCCGCCCAAGGTGAGCCGGGTGGAGGGCGGGCTGCAGCGCGGTGGGGTGTCAGGCGGGCGCTGGGGCCCCGCGGCCCTGCTCACACGGGCGCTGCTGTCTGCGCCCAGGGAGCCTGGAGACCGTCCCTCAGCATCGCCACCGTGCTGGCTTCCGTCCAGCTGCTCATGGCAGAGCCCAACCCCGACGACCCGCTCATGGCTGACATCGTAAGTGCCCCGTGCTCCGTGCCGCCGCCGGCGAGGCAGCCGAGCCCTGGGACTTGCCGCCGCAGGTCCTCCTCCTTGCCCCTGACTGTCTTTGGTTTTTCCTCAGTCCTCGGAGTTTAAATACAACAAGCCCGTCTTCCTCGAGAACGCCCGGCAGTGGACAGAGAAGCACGCGCGGCAGAGACGGGAGGTGTGTGACGTCCGTGCAGCTCTGTCAGCTGCTGTCGGCCGGCGGATGGGCCACGGGTGCAGATACGTAAATGCGGGGACCAGACTTGGGCCGTGCGTGCTCCGGAACGCTGCTCTTGCGGCCTTGGCAACAGTTACTGAGCAAAGCAGCCTCGTGGCTCAGCCCGCAGTGGGTTTTTCCTGACAGTTGTCACCTGTTGGTGGCAGTAGAGAGCAGACAGCCATGATCTAGATTCTCGGGGGCAACGTGACCAGACGAGGGGTGACTCGGGTGCTCGGAGCCTTTTTCTAAGATTTCTTTTAAACACTGTTTGCAGGAGTCGGGCAGGGGTGAGGGTGCGGGAGGGAGGGGGAATGGACTGTTCCCTGGGACCGTTTGCGGGCGAAGGAAGACCCCCCAGTTTGGGTGGCGCGTTTCCTCATTTCACAAAGTGCGCAGTGCGGGAACTCAGGAACGAGGACACCCTGCTTCCTGCTGAGGTGCGAGGTCCTTGGGATTGAGCCGAGGAGCAGTTAGTGTCACCTGTGGAAAGAAAGAAAGTTGAAACATGCAGACCCTGGGCACAATGCCTTGGGTGGGAGCAGCAGGTCCCAAAGGCAGCAGAGAAGGCCCCGGAGGCACCGCCCCGGGCTTACTGTTCCCGGCCTGGCGCTGGCCTGAACCGCAGGTTTTCCTCCGCAGGCTGACGAGGAAGAGACACCTGGACACCCGCCAGCGGCCGGCGACTCGGAAGCGCCCAGCACAGCACAGAAAAGGAAGGCCGGGCCGCTGGGAGGCGGGGCCAAGAAGTTCTGCCCTGACGTTTAGGGGCCGGGCCTGGTCCATCAGAGTTAACATGTCCTTTACCAGGATGGCTTGATGGCTCGCCTTTCTTAACTGGTTTCTTTGTGTTTGACGACGTTGTCGTGTTGTGTTATCCTATAAAACAGACCTTGCATTGTTTATATACTCTGCTCTTCGCTGGCTCTCTAAGTGGAGCTCATTTTATTTAGCTTGTACATGTGTATTTTGAAACGTTTTAAACCTGAGAAATAAATGAACGTGTAATGTTGAGTGTGTTTTCTCTGAACGTGTGTCTGGGAGCCAACGGCAGAGCGCCACGCGGTGAGAGCGAGAAAACAGCTGGCGTCGGCGTCCCTTACTCTGCCAGCTCACCGACCTTGCCGGGGCCCCGGTGGCTGACATGCAGGCCCAGCGCACGCCACCACCAGGCCCCCCGGCTCGGTGGCCTCCGCGCGGCGTGGGCCTGCGGCCGCACGGCTCCCACTCGCCTCTGAGCCCTCTCGCTGGGCGCGCTGCCGCGCAGTCAGGATTGCTGTGGTGGGACTGCGTTGGTTCCGCCACATTCCTCGGAGCCCTGCCGCGTGCCCCGTTTTATGCTGGCGTTTTAGGGTGCATCGGTGGGGAAGTCAGACATGGATTAACCAAATAATCGCAGACCTTTAGGCAGGGGTTCTTACAGTCCCTCTCTGCCCCTAGCTCCCATCCAAGGCACGCCCTGCTCCGGACAGCGGGGTGCCAGCCTGTGCCCCTGCTCAGGCTCGTAGGGTACACGTGGCTTGGCCTTGTCGTTCTGTGTGGTGGCAGAAAGCAAAGGGAACAGAAACCAGGTGGAGGAGGAAGAGGTTGCCCTCTGAGTGGGAGACGAGGATGGCAGGTGTCAGGACCGGCGTGTCCCGGTGCGGCGACTGCACGTGGCGGTGCCGTCACGGAAAATGCATCTCTGAGAGGGCAGCTCCCAGTGGCCCGCCCTCCGCCTGCCGCTGCGCTTTGACTCCAGGGCAAGAACGTGGCTTTACAACAGGACCGTGCACACCGAAAACATCGACCCTCTGCGCCCCCGCTTCCGAGGGTCCCAACTTCCGCACAGTCAGGTCGCGTTCTCTTTTTAAAGCCCAGGAAGTAATAAGAGTACATGTGGCCTCTGCTCACATGCAGCGAAGTCCGATTTTGGGTCCCTAGACGTGAGTGCGTCCTGGGGAGCACTCCGCTGTGAGCGACTTCCAGCGCTGCCGGAGCTCCCGGGGGCTGGGGGTGCTCTGCCTTCCTCGCCATGGGGCTGGGGCAGCACTAGCACCTGGAAGGGGCGGGAGGTGGGGGGGGGCGTGCGTTCTTCCACCTGCCGTCCGTAGTGACGACTTTCTCAGGCCATTTGCTCCTCCTGTGACCGCCAGCACCAAAGACTTAGGAACTGTCTCCATCCAGCCGGCCGCGGACCAAGCGCCCGCGACCGGACCACCCGGAAAGCCACCGCGGCAGCCAGGAAAGCTGGGCCAGCAGGGAGCGAGGGACTCCGAGGCAGGGGAGGAAACCAGGACCCCCTGCAGGGCAGAGCTACCCGGCTACATCCACCCAGTGGCCCTAGGCCGCTGTCCCTGCCTCCGCCTCAGCACCAGCCCAGCTGCCGGCTTCTCGCCATGCCCAGTCTCAGCCGCCAGCTTGTTCCCTTGTCCCCAGCCTTGAGCCTCTGCCCTCCATACCTCCCACAGCCGCAAGAACGATCTTCTGATGATGCAAAAGCCAGAATTTACCTCCCTCCTTAAACTCCTCCAAGTGGCTTCCTGCCCGGGTCCGCAGGACCCTGCCCCTGCCCCTTTCTCCGTCCACCCTCACGGCAGCTGCCACGCCTCGCACCCTGCTCCGGCCACGCGGCCAGCACCCAGCCTGAGCTCGCCCGCCCGGTCATCCCGCCCAGGCCCCGCCCCTGCACGCGTGCGTCCCCCCCCCACCCCCGCCTTTGTGGCCACGGTGGTCTCAGCTCCCAGGCAGCCGTCCCCGAGTTCTCGCCTGTCGCTCCTGAAGGAGCGCCCTCAGCCACCACCGGCTCACGCACCTTGCCCGAGGCCGCGCCCAAGGGATGGGGATGTTGGCTTCAGGGACTTCCCTGAGTGCCAGCGGCACCAGAGCTGCCCCCGGGCGGCCACCCTCCCCCACCCCCTGCCTTGCAGGAGCAAGGACTCTGGCTGCAGAGCAGCAGGGAGGAAGCGAGAGAGAAAAGCCCAGGAAAGGGTGGAGTGGGCTCAGCCGGCGCATGGGGGCGGCCGCCTTCCTGTGCCCCTTTCCTCCTGCAAAAGGTGGGCCGCGCGAGGCCGGCTCTCGGGGGCTGTCGGGAGGCCTGGCGGGCGGAGGGGAAGCGCCCGTGCAGGCCCAGGACAGTGTGTGCTGAGTGAGTGCCTAGCAGGGGACGGCCTGGGGACCCGTGGGAACCGCGGCCAGCCCCAGGGGGCCCCCAGAGCCACCCGCCCCCGTCAGCTGTTTCTAGGACAGGCGAGCCGTGCGCCCCCAACCCCTAATTAGAAGGGGGAACAACATCGTGACCAATCACATAAACACTGCAGGCTCCAAGCTCCCTCTCCTGTGCCCCGGCCCCGCTCCCCACTCTCTGCAGAAGCATCTAAACCAGAACAGACTGTACCACCCACCTCGTGGGCAGCCTCTGAGCAAGGCTGGGCCCGCTGTTTATCCTTCCGCCGCCGCGGGAGCTCAGCGCGTGCAAATAAAGCTCCTTTCCAGCCAAGTGTGTGTCTTTCCATCAGTGTGTACCCACCCCCCGACACCCGCTGCCCACCCGCCCGCCTTGTTTATAGGCCGGGAGGCCTGGGGGAAGGGAGGAGGGGAGGAGCGGGGCTGTGGTTTCAGAACCTGCTCCCCAGGCAGGCAGGCGGCTGCAGCCACGCGTGGAGTCCCGCCCGGGGCCGCCCGTGAGCCGGGCCAGCCTGAGGAGACGCGTGCAGGCCTGCTGCACCCAGAAGCAGCGCGCTCCACTGGGTCCTCGCTTCTTGGGACGTCTCCTCCGGCCCGACCCCCGGCTCCTGCCAGACCTACCCGCTCAGCACAGGCTGTGAGCAAACAGTCTGTGTCGACAGAAGCCGGGGCCCAGGAACGGCAGCACTGCTCCAGCGGGCGCCATGTGCATCAGGCGGCCGCGCACCCCGGCTGCAGCCCCCGGACACAGGGCCGCCAGGGCGGGAGCCGGGGCGCAGGCTGCCCTGGTCTCAGCTCCGACGCCCCCGCCAGGCCTCGGCGCACCTCCTTCTGGGAGACCCACCCGCCTGCGCCCGGCGCGCCTGCCCGCCGACGTGCCCGGAACGGCTGCAGGTGGGCAGGGCCGGCCTCGACCTCCCCTCACAGCTCCCACCTGGGCCCCAGCGCCCTCCCACCCCCACGGAGCATCCTCCCCTGGGAATTTATCTTACGCATATTCTTTTAATTAAAAAAAAAGATTTTATTTATTTGTTTTGAGAGAGAGGGGAAGGGAGGGAAAGAGAGAGGGAGAGAAACATTGATGTGTGAGAGAAACATTGATTGGTTGCCTCCCACATGCCCCCAACTGGGGACCTGGCCTGCAACCCAGGCAGGTACCCTGACTGGGAGTCAAACTTATGACCTTTTGGTTTGCGGGATGGTGCCCAACCCACTGAGACACCCAGCCAGGGCGATCCTACAGTCTTACTGCGGGTTCTTAACCTGTCAAAGGGCCCCCTGGTTGTCTTGGAACGTCACCCCCTGTCTGAAGCAATGCTTGGGGGAGTAGGCTTCCCAAGCAGAGAGTGGAGAGGAAGGTGGCCCAGGAGGAGGAAGGCAGGCTGATCTTCGGGGCCAGGAGGCCCGGAACAGGCTCGGGCTTGAGTCGCTGGAGGCCCATCGCTCCTGCTTTCTTCACACGACTCTCCGTCTGACCCAGTGCAGGCAGGAAGGGCGCGGAGTTGACGCCGGTCCCCCTGAGCTTCCCCCTGAGCCTCCTTGGCGGGGCCCCCGGTGCCCGAGCTCAGGCGCCAGGCTGAGGAGTGACCTCGACACCCGACTGCTCCCTGAAGGCTGCCCCTCGGCGGCCGCACCCCAGGCCCACGGGAGACAGAAGCCCAGGGACACACACGATACTGCACTGTGCTTTATTGTACAGAGGAATCCAAATATTTACACCTTGACGATTCTCACACTTCACACAGCCACAGCAGGGTGGCGCTGGAACCGGGGTGGCAGGGTGGGGTGGGGGCAGCGGCCGCCCCGGAGCAGAGGTAGTTAGAGGGGGAGCCGGGAAGGGTGGCGCTCCGGCAGCCTCCGGGCTCCTCAGTGTCGTTGGTACCCTGCCCCCCAATCCTTGAACCTTCTGTCCGTCCCGGGAAGGACGGCTGGGAAGATGCCGGGAAGCTGGCGGTGGGAGGGGAAGGCAGAGAGAAGTCCCAGCCAGAGTCCCTGCTTGTCCCCCGTCCTCAAACCTCAGCACCACGTTCAGGGGCTGTTTCCTCCCGGTGAGTCTGGGGTGCTTCAGAAATCCTGGTTTTCCCACCACAGGCAGGTCTCTGCCGGCAGCTCTGGGGCGACGCCGTGCCCAGAGCCTCGGTGGCACCCGCCACCCCAGCCCTTTGGCAGGTTCTTCCCGCCGGGTGCCGTTGGGGGAGATTTTGACAACCGAACCAAATGTGCTCACACACGTTGAATTATTTGGTTTCTGGTTCTGTGTTTCATCCAAGTCGCACAAAACCGCCCTCGTCTCCTGACCACGATGCTGGACTGAAGGGGAGGCCCACACGCTTTCCCCAGAGTCAAAGACAAAGCTCGTCCCTTGGCAAATGCACGACCTCTGCTGGGCTTTCTGACAAAGGAAATGGCTTCGGGGAAGACGCCTCCCCTCCGCCCTGCATCTTCCGACCAGAAGGGCCGGCCTGGACCCCTGCTTGGGTCCTCGCAGCGACGTGATGCTGGTGTCGCCCGAGAGATGGCAGCCAAGATGCCCCGGCCCCTGTCACGGGAGAAGCTGCCTACGGGAACAGTCCGTGACTCCGGGACCTCCGGCCCGGGGCCTGCACGCCCTACCCCACTCCCCATGGCTTCCTGGCCCCAAGGCTGCCAGCGCCGCACCAAGTTTGTTGCCCCGGGGCACCTCGGACGGCGCCTCTCTGCCCAGGAGGCAGCTGTTGGCGGCGTCCAAACCAGAGCACAGCCCTTCCCTCACAGGCCGTCACCAGCCCCGGGAGTGGGGCGCCAGGCGTCCCCAGATAACCCGCCGACGCAGGGGCGCACCAGCACGTGGGGAGGCCTGTCCCGAGGCCGACCTGCGGCCCGAGCTTCGCCTGTGGTCACAAGGCCGGCACGCTCATTCCAGAGCCCGTGAGAGTCCAGGCGGCCCAGCGGGTCGGAGGAGCCCGAGGAAAGGGCCCGTTCCACTCCCGGTCTCGGCCTCGGGTCTCCGGCGCGGCCCACGCGGCCTGTGGGCTCGGGTCAGCGTCTGCGGGGTCCAGGGGCATCGGGGGAGAGCGGAGGAGCTGGGCTGCGAAGCTGAAGGGCTGTCTCAGGGTCGTCTTACAGTGGAGCCCTGGGGGGGGACGGGGGCGGGCCGAGGGCCGGGATTCAGGAAGGCGGCCATGATCCCTTCAGCCTCGATTCCAGATTCCTGTCCCGATGGGACTGCGGTTGGGGTGCCCCGGACACGTCTCACCCCCCGATTGTTTTCCTCTCTGTGCAGAGTGGTCCTGCAGGACCCAGGATGTGAAGGGGGCCCCGGCTTTGGCAAGAGGTGGCATGAGAGCCTCAAGACAGCAACCCCGGGCCAAAGGGGAGCCGGCGCGCCACAGGCCGGCCGTGGGCACCCGCTGGGCCCGGGAACCCGCCCTCTCTGGAAGCTGGGTTTGGGGAGGAGGCGGGGGGGGGGGGGCGGCGCGGGGAACCACGCTCCCTGCCCAAGCGCCAGTGGGCCGCGGCCGGGACCACAGGGCAGCCTCCTGCCCCCGCTTCTCAGGTGGGGTCTCCGCCGGCTGATGTCCCCACTGCATGCCCAGTCAAGGCCCTGGGAGCGGGGCCTCCCTCCAAGGATGGGCAGCATCTTGCCGGGCCCCTGGGAAAAGCCGTGCTGCACCCTGTGAGACTCTGAGAGCTCACAAAATCCACACGGGCAGGCGCAACCTGCGGTCGAACAGTCTGAGCAACCGGGTTAAACAGCGTCGGCAGCTTCCTTGCTGCGGGGACGGTTGGAGCCTGTGCGGCTCAGACACGCCCGGCGGCCCCCAGGGAGGGCCTGGCCCGTGCACCCGGCTGTGTCTCTGCACAGCACCGGTCAGGTTAATGAGACATGGGACACGTGCTGTGCCTGACCCATGAGCCTTGGGGGCGATGCCCACATGCCTTCGGCCATCCTTTGCGGGTCTTTCTCCACGAGAGCCCCTTCCCTTAGGCAGACAGGACAGGGAGAGGCCCAAGGACGGCCCAAGGACACCGGGTCACGCAGCGCACGCCAGCAACGGCCCTGGGACCCAGGAGCCAGGCCTGGGCCCTCCTCCCGTAGACGACGTGGCCGATGCGTCTTGTGTTTTACAAGCGGCCGCCGCCCACGGAGGGGAGGGTGGAGGAGACGGGAGCCGAGGGTGAGGGACATTTACGCGTGGGAGGCAAAGGCTGGGCCAGAGCGCTGGGCGCCCCTGCCCTCAGACAGACGCCCGCCGCCTGGCGCGGCCCCCTCAGCCCTCAGCGGCAGCTCTCCGTCCACGGAGGCTTGCTGGTTCCCAAAGAGGGTTCCCTCCGGCTCGACAAAGCGGCCGCCCTCCAACGCGGGGCCCTCCTGGGAGATGCGGGCCACTGCAGGGAAGCCGTAGGCCTCCGGCCCGGGGGAGCGCCCGGTCTCGGAAGCTTCCAGAATGAGGTCCACGTCAGAAAAGGCCACCAGGGCCTGAGTGGAGTCGCAGGAGCCCTTCTCCAGGTGGCCGGCTGCGGCCGAGGCCAGGGGCCCCGCAGCGCCCGCCCAGGGCCAGAGCCGCCACAGGTCCTCGCGGGAGCGCGGGTGGAAGAGCAGGTAGAGCAGGGGGTTGAGGCAGGCGGGCAGCGGCAGCACCAGCAGCAGCACGGCCTTGATGGCCTCGGGGGTGACGGGCACGAGCCCGAGCATGGAGGCCACGCCGAGGAAGGCCACAGGGCAATGCAGCAGCCCGTCCGCGAAGGTGAGCCCGGCCACGTGCCGTGCCGTGGCGCCGTCCCAGGCCGCCCGCGGCTCGCCCCGCGGCAGGTCGCAATAGAGCCGGATGCAGGCGCCGGCTGCCACCAGGAAGCAGAAGGAGTGTAGCATCACCAGGGCCACGGCGAAGCCCAGGGCGGCCGGCCGGCCCTCGGGCAGGGGGTAGGGCAGGCAAAGCGGGGAGGCCCCATAGTCTCCCACCGAGGCCAGTGGCAGGGCGGCGGCCAGCCCCGCCAGCACCAGGCAGCCCAGCACCCCCGCGCGCACGCCGCCCCGGGCGGGCGCCTTCCCGTGGGCCCGGGCGCAGGACACCGAGGCGCCGCACTGCACGGCGGCCAGGGTCAGCAGCAGCACCGAGGCCTCGGACCCGAGCACAGCCAGGAAGCCCGTGGCCCGGCAGCCCGGCCCTGACTCCCAGCGCGGCCCGTACTCGGCGAACCGGCCGAAGGTCAGGGCGTCCACAGAGGCCAGGAGGCCGCAGGAGACGCCGGTCACAGTGTTGGCCCCGGCGATGGCTCCGACCACGAGCTTGACGGGGGGCAGGGGGCCGGGCCCCCCCGCGAAGACGCTCAGCAGCACCAGCGCGTTGCCGAGCAGCGACAGCACCGTGACGGCCCACACGGCCAGGCGGACGCCCCAGCTCTCAAACAGGTGCTCACAGGGCTTGAAGGGGCCTGCGGGGAGAGGGCAGGCCAGGTCACGCGCCGAAGAGACGCCCAGTGACCACACACAGAGCACTGACGGGCGGGCACCCGCCCTGGTGCTGGGCGCAGGTTGAGCGAAGCTGTCCTTCGCAAGGAGCAGCTCTGGGGGGAAAGGAAGGGACAGGCAGGTCCGGAGCAGCAAACAGCCGTCAGAATTGGGCTGTGGCTGGAGGAGAGACCCCCAGGCGTGAGGGTCGCCCCGGGAGCCGCTCACAGCAGCCGAGGCTCTGCTCGCCCGGCCAGGGCTCGGGGGCCCCGAGGACCCCGCTGTGGACGGGCCTGGCCTCCCTGGCCTGGGGCCAGGGACGCAGGCCATACTTAGTGTTCGTAGCGTCTGTCCGTATCTGGGAGGCGCAGCTCCCTAACTCAAACCAGAGGTGACTTCTGGGGTTTCCCGTCCGGTTCTCCATGAGCTGGTCACATCCTGCTCTGTCCCCTCTGGGCCCCCAGGTTCTGGCCTCAAATCGCCTGGTCACCCTGGCATATCATTTCTTCATTGCTCTTTGCTCCAGACCCCTTTCCCACAATGCATTGCTAGTAACTTGGGGATTTGGGGAAAAAAATGTAGGAGCCATTTTTTAAACAGACTTTTTCTGATTACCAAACGATAGATGGTAATTATTGGACATTGTAAAATATAACATGGAAAAATGAAAACTAGTTATGATCCTACCTCTCAGAGAGAAGTCATCGTTTTGGTGTGTTTCCCCCCATTTAATGAGACACGTACGCATGGTGGGTTTTGCACTACATTGCGGACTTGCTGTTATCGCTTCCACTTTCTCTTTTCAAGCTTAAATTTTGTGAGGCACTCACCCTATGCCCTGATACGCCCCCAAATCCCCCACCACAGGGAGGCACCGGGGTTTACTTGGCCATTTGTATGAGCCATGTTAAAGCAAGTCCAAGTCGGACTCTGTCTTTGAAACACCCTCTTTCGCCTGCTGACTGTTGGTTTCCGCAGGGGAACCTTCTGTCCAGGAGGGAAAAGAGCGCTCGCTGCCTCCTCTGTGTCGGCGCGCCAGCGCGGGCAGCCACTAGAGGGCGCGCGGCAGTCGCCGGGCGCTGAGGGCAGGTGTGGGCTGATCGGGCCAGAGACGGCAGCTCCTTGGGTCGAGGCCGGGGGAGGGGCGCGAGCGGCAGAGGGACGTCGGGAACGGGGAGCACAGCAGCGGGGGATGGCACCGGAGGAGCCCACCGCCGCTTGCTCCCAGCCCGCTCTGCGCAGCTGCTGCCCTGGCCTGGGCAAACGGTGCTGATGGGAGAGGGTTTTCCTTCTCTCTTTACGGACGTCAGATTCAGGTTAAACTTGGAGGAGCGTCCTCGGGGGGAAGGGTTGGTCTTGCTCTAAGTAGCTTCCGGGGGCGCTGGCAGGCAGAGACCCCCGGGGGGGAGCGGAGGGGCAGGACAAGCAGCCCTGCAGGGTCCCGCCCGCCCACTGAGGGCCTGCCCGGTGGGTCTTGGGCCGGGGAGCGGTCAGCGGCCGCCCACACTCTGCCCGAGCAATGCTTCTCCTTCAGCAAGGGCATTGCCTCCGGACGCGAGGCCTCTGATGGGCGGATTCGGGAAGATTTCTTTGACTCTCCCCTCCTGTCCGCCCCTCCTGCCCCAGGGGTCACCGAAGAAGAGGCTGCCTCCCCAGGACATGGGTCTTGGACAAAGGCCACACCCGTGTCCCCGGCCACCCGCCCCCGAGGCCCCACCTCACCTGGAACCGGGCTACACTGGACACTGGGCTGCGGCTTTCTCTCCTCCGTCTCCAGCGGGAGCTCGTCCACGTCCAGGTCATCTGACAGGGGAGACCAGAAAGTGGCTCCAAACGCCCGGCCCCTTGGCGCCGCCGCCGTGTCACTGCCCAGCGTGGTCCCTCCGGGGCCCCGAGCAGAGGTCCCGCCCCGGGTGTGGACGCGGGCTCCCTGGGGCCCGCGTGTGGGTTGCCCGCAGCGTGGGCTCTTCACAGAGACCTGGTATTCTGTGACCCGGCTGCACGGGGGCCGCCTGGAGGGCAGGAGCTGGTGACCCCAGGGCCAGCCCCGCACCGTCACGCCCTGCCCCTCTGGAGACACTGTGCAGAGAAGGACACCTTCTGACGGCTGCGCGGGGGGGTTCGGGGGCGAAGGGATTAGGTAGGAACGAGAAAGGGCTCAGGGACACAGCTGCGTGGGGGCTGCCGGGAGGAGGGGGGACAAGGGGACAGAGTGGAAATGGGAAATAAATACAATTTAAAAAAGAACATCTTAAGATGGAGAAGTGAGCCTGAGCGGGTTCAGCAGCGGCGACCCAGGACAGGGAGCGGAAGCCACGTGTGTGAGACGGTGCCGCAGCCTGGACAGGGACCGGGGACGCAGCAGCCGTCCTAAACTGCCACAGGAGCCCTGGCCGGTGTGGCTCAGCAGGCCGGGCATCATCTTGCAAACTGTAAAGTCACCAGTTCGATCCCCAGGCAAGGCACAGGCCTGGGTTGCCGGCCAGGTCCCCAGGTGGCGGCGTGCGAGGAGCGACCCCACGTCGATGTTTCTCTCCTCCCTTCCCCTCCCTCTAAAAATAAATAAAATCTTTTTTTTTAAGAAGACGCCAACAGCCTGTTGGGCACAATGGAGCCTCTCTCCTCTGCTTTGGGTCCTCGAAGGGGGCAGAACCAGGAGACACGGCGGCTCGTCGGAGGCGGCCGTTGGGATTCAGGTGGAGGGGTTGCAGTGCTTAGCGACACGGACGAGTCCCGCACTTCGGTCCCGCGAGGAGACCCGCGTGCTGAGCCAGTGTCGGCCGCGCCAGGCGAGGGCAGGGGCCCGGGCCAGGTGGACCCGCCACGCCCCGACCCCAAGCGGCGCATGGGCACAAACGAGGGTGGCCGTCACGCTCCGGGCGCTGGGGCCTGGGGTGGCACTGGACAGAGAGGAAACGGGCTCGTGAAGGGAGGCGCCCAGGCCGCAGCCAGTGAGCGAGCGGGAGGCAGGGCCAGCTCCGCAGCCAGGCGTGTCCGACCACCGAGCCAGGGCTGGACACGATGCTCTCTTTCCCGGGGAGCACTGGACGCGAGGGACGCGGGACGTGGGGAATGCGGGAGCTTTGCAGGAGCAGGCGCAGGCACGCGTCCACGGGAGACCCCGAAGCCGACGGTCCCTGACGTGAGAAAGGGGCACATCTACACGGACTCAGGGGCGGGGTGGGGCCGTCCTAATCCTTCCAATCCAGTCCTAAGCTGTCAGTCGGGGAAAATGGGACGGGAAACGCGAAGCGTTGCTGAAGTTCTGTCGCGGGTTTGAACCCCATGGATCTTTTTTCTCATTCGCTGTCCCAGTGTTTCTTGACCGGGGGCCGGCTCGTTCCAGGGGAGGAGGGTGGCGGGGGGAGGCGAGGGACCAGCGTCGCAGGGTCCGCAGAGTCTATAAGAATTTTGAAATGATCCAAACGCTTTATAACGTAGGCAGATGAGACTGCTGCACACGGTGCAGGTTTGAGACCCGCACCCGGGGGCTCTTCCTCCGTCTCCAGGGAACGCCATTCCCTGTGCAGCGCCCTCCTCCCTGCCCGAGGGCTCATGTCTTCACTGGGAGCCTCCTGGGAGGCCGGCGGCCGCGGCGCTCCAGCGCTCCGGGCCCACACTCCGCGGGGCAGAGGCCGCCTCGCGCCCCGTCCCTGCATCTCCTTCCCTCCCCGCCTTTCCTCCCCGGCCCTGCTTCCCCAGATGGAGGCAGCCACACGGTGAGACCCAAATGCACGAAGGAAGCACGAGGGCTGAGGCTGCACAAGGCCCAGCCGAGTGGCCCAGGGCTCCCCCCACCAGCCCCCCTGGCTCTCCGGACCAGAGCCAGGCTCCGCCAGTTTCCATTCCTCCTTCCAGCCCCCGAGGCATGTGCTGCGGATGTCGGGAGCCCTTCCGACTGCCGGCCTGGCCGCCCTCTGGGCACACCCTCCGCGGGCCGGCCCGCAGCGCCTGGCGGGCGCTCCTGGGACCCCAAGCGCCTGCCCAACACGGGCCTCCGCACGCCGTGCCCCCCTCCCCCTCCCCAGGCAGCAGCAGGTGCAGGTCTCAGCGGAGCAGTGGCAGCAGCAGTGGCAGCGGCTGGAGTGGGGTCAGTGGTCGCGTCCCCGGCCTTTGATCCGCCCAGAGGTGGGGTGATACGTTCCAGGTCAGGAAGCTGAGGCTCAGGAACGTGTGGCCCCGGGTCCACGACGCCTGGGTCTGTCCGCGTCGCGGGGAGACGTCGTCCTTACACGCTCAGATTTCATCTTTGTGTTCCCCTCTCCGTTGACAGTTGTGGAGAAGGCGTCGGGGAGCGACCAGGAGGGCCGAGCTCGCCGTCGCGGGGGCGCGGGCCGGACGCCGGCCCTGACCTCACGGGAGGCCCCTTCCGGAGGCGGTCCCGCGGGAGGCCTTCGGCCGCCGGCCCCCACCTTTGTGCCTTTGGCCCAAATCTTCCAGAATCGGGGACCCATCCGGCCGAGATGGCCTTAGCTGGGGTCGCCCTCCCAGCAAGACCCTGGGCACCTGGCAGCCTCGGGCCTGTCCCGTTGAGACCCGGGGGCCGGCTGGCGGGGCAGACGACCTGCACGCAGGCTGCAGGCTCCCTAGGCTGTTCCTTTGGACCCCAGGACGGAAGTGGGGACTTCCTCTGGAAGCAGGTTTAACTTATTCGCCTTAATTCGATCCTCCTCCGCTGGGGGAATGGGCGTGGTCCCACGCACGCCCCGTGATTGACGGGGCCCGGCCAGGAGGCAGCCGTGGGGGTAGAGGTGCGCACCGGGGTGGGGGGCCTCCTGAAGGTAACGGGCTCACGCCATCGCTACGCGGGTGCCTTGGAGAGACGGCCCCTCGCTGGGTCCTCTCGCAGGGCCCCAGGCCTCCGGTCGCCGGCCCTTCCCCGCTGACCCCGCCTGGGCCTCCCCGGCCTTGGTTACTCACAGTGGCTCTCGGCTTGTCCCGCGAGGAGGCCCAGGGGACTCTTGGGAGCCTCCTCTTCCTCCGGGTGGAAGTCGTCCTCCTCCCAAGGCCCAGAGGCCTTGAAGAAGCTGGAGCAGAGGCCACCGTAGGCGCAGCACTGGTAGGCGTGGGGCACCTCCAGGGTCCTGGGGGCAGGAGGCGCACGGGGGCGTTGGGCGCGTCGGGTCTCAGCCCGGGCGCCTGGCACCCAGCGCCTGCCCTTTGACCCCACAGGCTCCTGCCTCGGACGGGCTGCGCACACTCCAGTCCGGAGAACGAGCCAGGGCATGGACGCGCTGCCCTCAGCTGGCTGGCAGGGGCGGGGGGGAGTCACAGAGCCCTCGGCGGGCGCTCTGTGCCCTCCGGGCCCGCAGCACCCCCATTGTGCTTAAGGAGGCAGGCCTCTCCCCAGCAGCCTCTCCGCTCGACCTCAGGAGGCCCCCGCCCCGCCCCCAGGGCAGGTGCCCCAGGCGTGCCACCAGCTCGAGGCCGCCGGGCCTCAGGCCACCCAGCCTGGGCCGCTGCGCGCGGGACGGGCTGCCCCGCTGGAGCCCCGCTTGGCGGTCGGCTGCCCAAGTGCACGAGCGGGCGGCTGGCCACCGGCTCTCTGCCCGCCCCTCCCGGCCCCTCAGCTGCCCTGAGGCAAACCTGTGGGGGGCGGGGAGCCCAGCTCTCACCTCAGCTTTGGGAAACTGTCCTTGGGGAAGGCCTGCGACAGGGCGGGGTTCCCTTTGAGCTTGAGGTGCGCCAGGCCCCCTAGCCCGGCCAGCGGCAGCGTGGTCAGCTGGTTGTCGGTCAGGTCCCTAGGGCAGTGGACGGTCAGGGTTACTGGCAGCCGGGGGAGTGCGGGGCCGGGGCCGAGCTGAGGGTGCAGCCAGAGGAGAGGAGCAAAGGACGGAGGGTCTCAGGGCAGGGAGGCAGCGCTAGGGGCTGAGGGGTGGGGGGAAGGGCGGGGGCGGGTGGCCAGCAGGGGCCCCAGGCCTCACACACTCAGTTGTTCAGACACTCGCTCACTCATTCACTCGTCAAACATCAGGCGCCGACGGGCTACCAGGGACCCCGGTTTGGGGGTGACAGAGCCCCTGGCCACAGCTCCTGAGCCGAGTGGGAGTCCCGTCCAGGAGGCCCTGTCGCCCCACCCCCCACTTCTCCAGGACACAGGAGCTCAGAGCTGGGATTGGACAGAGCTCGCGCGCTCTCTCTCTCTCTCTCTCTCTCTCTCTCTCTCTCTCTCACGTGTACATCTCGCCCCAGCATCACACAGGGAAGGAGGAGGAGGGGCAGCCCCGTGAAACCGCGGCGCGCGCACACTGCGGGGGCCGCGGGCGCGGGCGTGGGGCCGGCGCTGGCCCGTGAGGGCCTCAGAACCAGAGGGCCCCGCCGGGTGTGCAGCAGGCCGCCGGCTCTCTGGCAGCGGGTCCTGTGGCCGGTCAAATGGCCTGTCCCCGCGACCAATGATGCTGGAGCCCGGGTCCTGGGACGTGCGGTCAGACAACCATGCCGGCGCCCGCTCTGGGGTGGGTCCTGCTGGCCCCACGGGTGCGCAGCACCCAGGAGGTGGACTCAGTGGCACTTACAGCTTGACCAGGGAGCGCAGGGTCGCGAAGGCCTCTGGGTGGATGGACCGGATGGCGTTCCAGCTCAGGTCCCTGAGGGCAGAGCGGGCGTGAGAGGAGGGGACGGGGACGGGGACTCGGGGAGGACACCCTGTCCCCCTCCTGCTTCTCCTGCGCTTACCCCGTCTGAGCCGCCCCCAGAGGGGAAGGTGCCCTTAGCCCGGCTCCCGACTGGCCGTGGCCCCCAAAAAAGGGGCGAGACGGCCTGGCTTCAGAGCCTCACGGCCCCTGGGGACTCGCTGGGGATGCGGCTTGAGAAGCCGCCGGGGCGGGGGGCCCTTCCCCGCCGAGTGTGAGCTGGGGCGGGGCGGGGAGCACATGGCTGTGCCAGCGTCGCAGGGCAGCGGCTCGGAGCCCCCGGGCCGCCCCGCGCTGCGGGTACTCACAGGGCCCGCAGGGCGCTCAGCTGGCGGAAGGTGTCGGCTCTGACTTCCCAGATGCGGTTGTGCTGGAGGCCGCTGGGGCAGCAAGATGGGCTGGGTGACCGCTGGGCTCAGACCCCGGCTGCCCCCACGCGAACCCCCTCCCCACACACAGGGCAGAGAAAGGGGAGCCCCTCTTCTCCTGGCGCGGAGAGAGAGGGCCGAGCCCATGGAAGTCACTGGTATTAAAGGGACCGGTTGTTTTGGGTAAGTGGGTCAGGAGACAAAGCCACAACGCTGTCCCTGTGGCTCCAAGGAGAGTCGGTTTCTAGGCTTCCCTTCGGGCCTGGCTCCCCGCCCGGCCGACCTCGCCCGAGGCCCTCTAGATGCAGGTCCGGCACCAGGCACCACCTACCCTTGCTCAACCTGCGGCCTGGCCCTCAGTGGACTGCGGGCCTCCAGCTCAGCACGGTTTCTGGGCACCTAGACCGGCCCTGACACCCCCACCCCCAGGCCCCAGAGGCACCATCACGCCGCGGAGACTGGGGAGAGACCCCGGAGGCCCTGCAGGCTGGGGAGAGCCGGGGCTGGCGGTGCCCGCTGAGAGAGTCTCACGTGGCTCTGCTCCTCGCCAGGCTGGGACCTCAGGCCTCCCTGTGTGCGGGCATGCGCAAAGGTGTGCGTACCCACACGTGGTGCGTGTGGGGCGGGGGAACGGTGGGGCCGGCCCCTCCTCGCTGCCACTCTGTCGTGGGGCCCTCGACCCCCGGGGGCCACCTCGAGACTCTTTGGGCACCGGCCCCCGGCCCGGCGTCTGCTCCCAGCTCCCAGCCCCCGCCTCGGGGTTCCCCACCCTCAGGGCGGGTCAGCGTGCGAAACCCTCCCCGCAGACCCCCCAGAATCTGCCCCCGCCCGGCCCCACTCACATCTCCTCCAGCTTCTGGCACCTGTGCAGGCTCGGCAGCTCCTCGATGCGGTTGTGCGACAGTTCCCTGGGGAGAGAGCGGCCGGCGCCTGCGTGAGGTCGGGCCGGGAAGCAGCCCGGACTGGGCCGCGTGGCCCCGCTGGCAGCCGAGGCTGGGAGAGCCCTGCGGGGACGCGGCTGCTGGCACTGTCCCCCATCAGACCTGTCTGCACCCCCCGCGGAGCCCCGCTTCCCCCAGCGCAGCCTGGACAGGCGGGGGTTCATGGTCCTGGGAGGGCCATCTTGTCCGTCAAGGGCCTGGCGGAGCCAGGAGGGTCAGGGGACAGGGCAGGGCGCTGCGACCGAGCCACCGGTCAGTGCCAGCCCCAGGGAGCAGTGCCTATGGTCACCGCGGATGGGGCCGACAGGGATGCCAGTGCCCGTGTCCATACGGACCATCTGACCCAGCCTCTTACCTAATGCAGGGGGAAACTGAGGCACAGACAGGGAGGAACACGCCCCTCGACTTCCTAGGCCACTGAAGTGCCTCGCCGGTCCAGGAGGGCTGCCTTGCTTGTGTGAACTAGAGTCACCAAGCCTTGTGTTGAGCTCCTACTAGGTGCCTCATATTGAGCACCTACTATGTGCCCCACATGATCTCCTACTATGTGCCCCGTGTTGAGCACCTACTATGTGCCCCATATGATCTCCTACTATGTGCCCTGTATTGAGCACCTGCTATGTGCCCTATATGATCTCCTACATGCCCCGTGTTGAGTCCCTACTATGTGCTAGGCGCTATACACACATTTTCCCAACCCTCACAGCATGATCCATGTTCTGTGGCTGAGGAACTCAAAGCTCTGAGATGCTGCCGGTGGCAGGGCTGGGGTTCCGCCCCGGCCTGGCTCCCACGACCCCCGTCTGCCACCTCAAACGGGAGGGGAGGGCCCAGGCCTCCTCAGGCCCCTTCCTGGCAGCAGGGAGAGCGGTGACCGGGGGGACAGGGCAGGAGGGCCCTTGCCGCCTATGGGCACCAAGGGCGGCTGCGGGGCTGCAGGGAGCGTGGGCAGCACTCACAGGACGCGGAGCCTGGGCAGCTGCTGGCACATGCCGGGCGGGAGCAGCCGGATGCCGGCGCGGGTCAGGGTCCTGCGGGGACAGAGACAGGACGGAGAGAACGGAGGGCGGGCCGGAGCCGAGCACCAGTGCCCTGCCCTCGCCCGGGGGGGGGGCGCACGATGGGAAGGCCGGGGAGGGCGGGGCTGCCTGGGCGGGGGCGGGGCAGGTCTAGAGCAGCTGGGCTCAGGGTCAGGGTGTCCCAGGAAAGACTCAAGGCCCAGGTCATCCTTGGGGAAGGTTTTCCAGATGGCAGCGGGTCTCGGGGGACAGCAGAGGCTCGGGGGAGGCCGCCCCCCGCCATGCCGCGAGCGCGTGGGCGACGTGGGCGGGACGGGGGTGCCTGACTCGTTCCACTCATCCTCTTCAAACACCGCGGGCCGGCTGTGCGTCGGCCCCCCGCCCCCTCACCAGGTGGGAGAAGAGCAGCCACGAGGGAGTCCGGGTTGAGGCCTGGCTTCGGAAGGCCAGGGAGGCGGCCTCTCAACCCCGCCCCGTGGCAGGGCCTCAGGCGCCCACGGCGGGGCCTGGGGCAGGAGCACGGAGGTCGCGCACCCCAAACCACCTGCCGCCCCCTTCCCTGCAGGGTGCCACCTCCAGAGACGGCCATGGCCCGGGGAGGGGGCAGCCAGGGGACCTCGGAGCCCCCAGCAGCAGGCGCACAGACGGGCCCCCAGGCAGGCGGAGTCCCAGGTCGGGGAGGGGGCGGCGGCGAGAGAGCCACTCACAAGGCCTCCAGACTTGTCGTGCCTTTGAGGTCTGGGAACTCCTGGATGTCGGTGGCTCCGTTCAGGGACCTGGAAACAGCGCCACGGCTGAGAGGGCGCGGTCCAAGCGCGTCCACGCCGGCACCCGGCCCTCAGGGGCTCTCCCCAGGGAGACCGCCGCTCTGGGAACGGCCAGCCTCGGCCCACGCCCGCAGTCAGCCAAGCTCCCGGCCCTGGAGGCGGCTGGGCCGAGCTGAGCAGGGGCCGGCGCCCGGGGCGGCCAGGGGTCCTCTCTGCTTCACCGGTGACAGCGGGGGGGCTCCGAGGAAGCCCTGGCACCTGGGTTTGCTCAGAGCCTGAGACAGGGGCTCCCTAAAACTCGTCTTCTGGGGTTTCCTCAGCACCAGCGGGCAGCTTCCCCCCTCCGGCCCCCGCTTCGAGAGGACACGACCGCAGGGGCCTGCAGGGGAGCGGGGGCTTCAGACCGGCCAGGCCCGCGGGGCCAGGGACCAGGGGCCGTCTGTCTGGATACCGACCTGGCAGCCTGGCCCGGGGCTGGGGGAAGGGCAACCGAGGATGCCCACGGGGAACGTGTGCTTTAAAGACGTTGCACCGTCCCCGCGAGGCTGAGGGGAACCGCGGGGGCTTTTCTGAAGGAGCGGGGCTTGGGGGCGGGCGGGAGGCGCCAGAGAAACGCCTTCGGGCCCAAAGCCGCATGGCCCAGGTGTCTGGAGAACCGAAACCGGCGCCCCGGCATGTTCCGCCGCTGTTCACGGAACGGCTGAGGCCAGTCACGGGCCTGGCTGGGGAGGAGCCCGGTCGGCCTCCCGGGACCCGGCAAAAGCCACAGGGGCAGGGCGGTTGTTGCGTCACCAGACCTGGGAAGGGGCCCCGGCGAGAGGGGGCCTGAAGCCGGGGTTCACGCCGCTGGGGGGCTGTGCCTGGCGGGGCTGGGGGCTGGGGGCTGCAGGGACCGAGGGCGGGGGTCCCGGCGGGGGCGGCCCCTTGGAGCCGACGTACAGCGTGTGCAGCCTCGGCAGGTGCTGGAACGCGGACCTTCCCACAGACTGGATCGGGTTGTCATAAAAGTGTCTGAAAAGGCCCCAAACCCTGAAGTCAGCAGTTGGGCACTTTCCTCTGGGACCACGGAGCCCTCCGCCCCTTCTCCCCGTGGGCCCCAAGGGAGGGCCCCCCACCCCGCCTTGTCCTGCCCCCCAGCCCGGCCCTGCGGACGCTGTGCGGGAGGTGGGGGCTCACATCGCCTGCAGCAGAGGGTTCCCCGTGAAGGCCTTTTCTGGGATGGCCCTGATGTTGTTGTTATGGAACCCCCTGCAAGGCAAGTGGGGGGCAGTGAGGGCCGGGGGCTGGTGTGCTCCCCCGGAGCCCTCGGGCCGCCGGCCAGAAGGCCAGAGACCAAAGGGACGCCTGCCAGGAGCCCCAGGTTCCACCCCGCCTGTGACGTTTCGCCGTGTCACGTCACACGCCCTCCGTTTCCCTGGCACGTGTGACGGGCACGGGGGCGGGGCCTGAGCAACACCATTGACACTCGTGCGGGAGCTCTGGAGGGTCCCCAGGAAGGAGGCGGAGGGTGTGTGGGAGGCGGAAGAAACGGGGCCGTAGGGCGTGCGGGGGCCCCAGGTGGACGTTGACGTGGCCTCAAGGCCCCAAACCCACGGACGGAGAAGGGGCGGGGCCGCAGGAGCAGACCCAGGGCCGACAGTGGCCGACTGGACTCGGGGAAGGGAAGACCGGGGCGAACGCCGGGGCCCTGAGGCAGGAGTTGTGTTTGATGAGCTGGGGAGGACCTTTCAAAATAAACGCTTGGGAAAAAATGAAATGAAATAAAGCCACTGCCGGGCTACCCCGCACAGAGCCCCCCGGAGCAGCCCCGACAGCCGCCTCGTCACGGGGCGATTCGGCCTCTCGGGACCCCAGGGCCGTCTCCCCTCGCTCCGGCCCCCCGCTCCGCCGGGCGCTGCCACTGGCCGAGACGCCCCGACCCAGGCCGCCACCCAGGCCGGCCGTGCAGGCAGTTGCCCCTCGGTTGCTTCAGGGGTCCCGCTCCTGCTGCGGGGCCGCGCCCCGTCTCCGCGGCGCTGCGCTCCGGGGGTTCACAGGCGTCGCAGACGGAGGCCCTGTCCCCGGGCAGCTTTCCCTCGGGAGTTGGAGAGACACAGGCAGACGTCTGGACAGACACGCCTGTCCCCGAATCCTCTGGCTTCTGCTCCCCGAACGCGGCAGCCTTTCCTGTCCCTCCACACCTACGCTCGCAGACCTGGGCCTCCGGCCGGCCTGGCCTCTGCGCCTGCCGACCCCCGGACCGGGTGGCGGGGTGGCGTGAAGGTGCCACTGCAGGCGAGGCGGGGTCTGCGTGGGGACGCTGCCTGAGCGTCGGGGCTCTGGGGGCCGCCCTCGGCCTCCCTCAGGCTGGTCACACCGCTGCACCCCTTCGTGCCCGTCTGTCCTTCTGTCCGAAGGCCCTCCCGCCCCTCCCGCACGGCCGCGGAGAGCAGGGCGCGCGGCGGAGGTACTCACAGCTCCTGCAGCCTGCCCAGCGTGCGGATGGCGACCGGGAACTCGTGCAGCTCGTTGTGGTTCAGGTCCCTGGAAGGAACGCAGAGCCCTCGTCGGGGGCGGCCGGGGGGGGGGCTCCCCGGGGTCCCGCCGTCCGTGCCGAGAGATGCGGGTGGGCACGTGCACGTTTCATCGCTACTCCACAACCCCCGGGGCGAGCAGCGCCCCCAACAGGGCAATGGTTCGGGGTGGGGAGCCGGTGGGGGGGCCGACTGCCTCCGGACAGCCCCCGCAGGCCAAGGAAGCCCCTCAAGCCTCCGGGGACATCGGTGGGGGGGAGGCACCGAGGGGCGGGGGGCAATCTTTCACATCCTCGCTGGCTCTTGGGATTCTAGAAGGTTCCCGGTGACTCCCTGGGCTCCCGGCGGCCTCTGCGCTCGCCTTCTGTTAACCTGAGCAGGGCCTCTTCGTGCTGGGCGGTGGCGAGAGGCTCATCTTTATTTTCATTTTACTTTTTCTGCGTTTCCCAACTTTTTCACACTGAGCACACAGATCGCACGGATAATCAGAAAACACGGGGGTAACTTTGAAAGCGGCGGCAGCCCAGGCTGGAGGGGCCGTGGGAGCCGCCTTCTGGGCAGCGGCAGGCGGGCATTTAAGTGGGCGCCGCCTCGGAGGCGTCGCCTGACACATATGTTCAAACAGGCCAGTGCCTGCATGTCCAGGGATGGGCCCTGCGGAGACGTCCGCGCGCGGCGTGAAGACGCTTGGAGGAGCGCGCACCAGACGGGGCGCCATGGGAGGCGGTGGGGGGGCCGATCGCTGGCGTTCGGTCAACCGCAGGCCGCGGAAGCCGCCAAGAGGGCGGGCCGGGCGCAGCCACAGGGCGAGCGCCGGGCTCTCTGTGGCCCCACCGTCGCCGGTCACCGTCTCCGAGGGGAGCGCCCTCGGACCTTGGCTCAGCCCCCGCGGGAGCTCTCTGCTGCGGCCCCGCGCAGCTGCAGGTCCACTCAGCAGCCTGGACACCGTGTTATTACCTTAAACGCACGGGCGCGCGTGGGTCGGGCCTCGGAGCTCCGCTCACGGCCCTCCCCGCCCCCGCCGGCTCCGCGCGAAGCGGCGGCCGGCCACCCTGCCCCGGCCCTGTGCCGCAGATTCGAGGCGCCCACACCTGGCCCCCCAGCACTGCAGCACATCGACAGCCACACGTCAGCGTCCACAGCCTGCCAGTGACAGCGCAATAAATCCAGGGAAACGGCCCGCAGTCCCTCGCCGCTTCTCCTGACACCGGGGAACCCGAGCGCCCGCTTCTGAGGCAGCGCTGGCCTTGGGGCTGCCAGTGGCCCCCAGAACGCGGCGGGAGCGGCCGGGTGGGAGCTGGGTCTCCGCCCCTCCCCCGGGAGTGCCCCTGCCGCCGGGGAGGGACCTGGGTGGCCCGGAGAAAGGGGCCCGGCCAGCCGGACACCAAGGCGCAGACGTGAGCGGGCCCTGCAGGACCCTCGGGTGCCAGACAAGCCCCCGCTGACCGCCCAGGGAGGTTCCCGTGGAGGGAAGCCATTCGCATCACCCAGGGAGTCCTGGGGCCGCTCGTCCTACAGGACGGGAGCCGAGCTGGGACGCAGATGGCCCCGGACTGAGGAGACGCCGGCCCGTCTCCTCCACCAGCTCGAGGCCAACGACCGCGAGGCCTGCGGTGGCCAGGGCCCAAGAAGCCGGGTCCCCGAGCCACCACGTGGAGGCGGCCGCCTGCCAGGGAGACGTACCCTCTTCGGACCGTCACACGGTCCAGAGGTGACCCTTTGCTGCTGGAGCCGCCGCCCACGGCGCAGCCTGTTTGCGCTGTCCACTCAGGCTGTGGGAGCCCCGAGCCCACACTCTTAGCTCTTGGCTGGGAAGATCTTTTTAAAGTGCCCCGGCGACCCCACGGCTCTCCTACTGAGAATGGGGGGCGGTTCCTCGTCGCGTGGGGACCGCGCCCCAGTGGCCTGAGTGGTCTGTCGGCCTGTCTGCCGGCTCCCCCGCCCCTGCCCCTTCCCGCCCTCGCACGTTTACCTCTGCAGCTCTCGCCCAGGCCGGAGCGCCTTTCCCCACGTTCTCGGAGGCGGAAATCCTTCCCGTCCTTTGCCGCCCTGCTCCAGCAAACCTCTCCCCGCGCGGCCCCGGCCCCGCAGCCGGGACGGCCCCCGACCCCCAGCACCAGTTTCTGTCCAGAGCAGGCTCAGCACCAGCGCTCATGGCGATGGTGGTGATGACCCATAGTAACGGCGATCACGAGGTGACCTGCATATAGTAATTCATGCCGTTTCCACGCCGACCCTCTGAGGCGGGCGCTGTTGCTGCTCCGCTGCGCCCACGAGGCGCTGAGCGCGGGGAGAGGCCGGCACTTGGCCCCTTGGCTGAGAACGGAAGAGCAGGGATGGCAGGCCGGGCCGCGGGAGCCCACGGCGGGGCCTCGGTGCGCGCCCTGTCCCCCGACCAGACAGGGGGCTGCCACCGCGGGAAGTCCCCTTTCGGGTCTCCCGAGGCCCTGGCACAGGGCTGCGCACGTGGGTGTCACGGTCTCGGGCGGCTTCCCGAGCGCACGGGCCGCGGCCTGCGGGGGGCGCCGCGCGGGCGCCTGGGCGAGACGCTGACACGCAGAGCCCTCCCCACGTCCCCGCAACAAGGCTCCTTCGGGCTGGCCCTTCTGTACCAGGGGGTTCTGACGCCTCACCCTCAGCCGGAAAACCGCCCGCGGCTTTGTAGCCTAGTGTTGTTAACAGTCCAGAATCAGCCAGAAGCCCAGGAAGCGTCCGCTGCCCCGCCTGCTGCTCTGGGGAGCTGGGAGCAGATGGGGTAGGCCCCCCGCTGCCGGACCCCCGGCCGGAAGCTGCAGCTGCCACGGCTAATCCTCCCCTCCGTCTGCTCAGCCGTTTCCAGCCAAATGCAACCGAAACGGGTGGCAGGCCCGGGCCCCTGGGCAAGCTGCCGAGGGCCAGCGCTCCCTCCTTCCCCCGGCCGTGCAGAGGCGGCCGCCTCCCGAGCTGCCGGGAGCCTCACTGTGGGTTCAGAACTCAGAGCCGCCAGGATTTCGCCGTCACGCTGGCCGCCCCGCGTCTGACTGGTAAGGAGACGGGGCTCGGGGAGAGAGGGGGCCTCGCAGGCCTCGGAGCCCCGGCCCAGTGAGGCCCGTTGGGCCCGATCGACACGCTTTCCACACAGCAGCAAGGGACGCCGGCGGCTCCCGATCGGAGAGGGAAGTTTCCGGGCGGGCGAGGAGGCCAGCGCAGGGAAGACGCTCCTGTCACGGGACCAGCCCCCAACTCTGCGGGCGCACTCCCTCCCCGCAAAGCGGGACCCGCTGCACGGGGCTCTGCCGCCCACCTGGCCTGGGCAGAGGCTCCCCGGGTGCTGCCTCCTTGCCCTGCTCCTGCTGGACACTAGACACCTGCACGGACACCCCGGGTACTACACGCCGCACCCGCGGACACCGAGTGGGTCTCTCTCACGGCCTTGAAGGGGCATTAACGTCGTGTGCCGGGCGGGCCTCACCCTGACTCTCGGGGTCCGTCTGTGCTTATTCCCAGGCCTCAGGCGCGGGCACGCGGAGCAGTACGGGCGCGCGACGGCGCCGTGACCGCGTGTCCTGCCCTCCCCCGGGCACCCCGAGCCTCTGGCTCGCGCGCGGCTCCGCCTGCTGGGGGCAGACAGCCTGGGGAGCCAGGAGCCCACAAAGACATTATGACTAACAGCCTCTTCTCACCTTTTACACACAACTGGCCACCCACGACTAAGTGGGGCAATTAGCGCAATTGCCGTCGACTTCCCCTGCGAGACACAGATGCGCCTTCCTGTCAGCCTCCCTCCACCCACACGCCCCTCCCCGCCGGAAGACTTGGAAAACACCTGCGGCTGAGCGGCGGGTTCCGGTGGACGCCGCTGACCCCTGAAGCGCCCGAGACCCAGGAAGCCGGGACTTCTGGTAACGTCGGGACCACGGTTCTGGACCTGGAGCGCGTGGGGGAGCCCTGCCCGCACACACGCGCCTCCCCCCATGGTGGCCACGCACACCCCGAGGCTCAGTGCTGTTTGTGGAACAAGTGGCCGGAGAGCCGGCAGAGAGTGGGGATCGCCGCTTCTCCAGGCTGCTCCCCTGCGACGCTGAGGGCAGGCCCACCGGGCGGCCTGTGGCCAGCAGCTCCAAACGGCGCTCACTGACTCCCAAGCCCCCGCCTCCCACCCTCCAGCCCAGCAGGCGGGGTCCCTGGGGGCAAAAGCTTCGGCCCTGTTGCCAGCAGGGGAGGAAGGGGCAGCAGGGATGAGAAGGGCGACCTCAGCTGGCCACAGCGCCGGGGCCGCGGGGCCGCGAGCGCCGTGCCGGGAAGAACTATTAATACCTCATCGCGGTCACGGAGCCCAGGACAAACTCACGGGGCCGCTCAGTTTCCCGCCTGCCAGAGTCATTAGTGCGTCCACGGGGAAAGCCAGGAGAAGAACGCTCTGCATGGAACCGTAAATTCCTCCATAAGCCACAAGGCCCCACACGTCTGTAGCTAATAAACCCACAAATGTAAGACGGCAACGGACTGGCGAGGACAGGTCTCCTCGACGCCCCCGGGGTGCGCGGTCTGGCTGTGGGCGCTGGGGTGGAGGCCGAGGCCCGGCTCTGGTCCCGGCCGCTGGTCCGCGGGGTGAGCGCGGCGAGCCGGGCCCGCGCCCCCGCACTGCGACGGGAAGGGTCACGACTCCTGCCCGGACAGGTGGCTGGGAGGGGGACGCATGCGATGAGCGATGTGCCGGCCTTTGAGAAAAAAGCGTCTTTAATTCCCATCCCACAGCAAACGACTGGTAGGAGGGCCGGCGCGGCCTGAGTCACGGGGACCCTGCTTCCTTTCGGACCCTGCCAACGCCTGCCCTGCCCCCCAGGCCTCTCCCTGGATCCGGCCGGGGGCAGGCGTCCGCCCCACCGTGGCCCTAGGCACCCCTCCAGGGAGAGAGTCCGGCAGCCCCGCGGCCCCCGTCGGCCTCACTGGCTCCACGAGACGAGGGCGAGACCCTGAGACCGTTGTCCAGGCCCGGCGGGCGGGGGGGCGGCCCCCCTGAGTTCCCGCTGAGGGCAGACATCGAACGCCCACATCTGCGGTGATGGGCAGGCCCCTCCGGTGGCAACACATTTGCTTGGCCTTTTTTGGGGGGGCGGCCACAGGTTTGATTGGCAAATATCGCCAGGGATTCGAGGAGCATTAGCTGGCAGCGCAGAACAGCAACCCGGTCTCCGAGCCGCGCGTCGTGTGCAGAGCCTCAGCAGAACCGCTCTTGCCTGAGAACGCTCCTATTTCTCAGCGGCGGAGGCGTGTGACCGATCGGGCCCACGGGAGCCAGCTCTACGCGGAGCTGCACCTAGAGCATCACTATCACCTGCGAACCCCAGAAACGGCCCACGCGCCCCCACTCCCTGGACTCGGCCTGATCTGGAAAGCGGAGGAAACAAGCCCTCAGAGGCCGGCTGCCTCTGCTTCTGGGTCTCACGGCCAGGGATGCGCACTCACGGCGGGGGGGAGGCGGGGGGGTGCCGGCGGCCTGGCCGGGCCTCCGGCCGCCGGCTAGGGCAGGCGGAGCCACGACCCCAGCCTCTCCCGGCGCTCCAGGCTTCCTCGGAGTGCAGGGAGCTTGTCGGTGTGGCTGCACAGGAGGGCACGGCAGCCCCCGGGCCCTGCCTGCACCCCTTGGATTTGCCGGGCCTTTCAGAGCAAAAGAGAGCAGGGTGCACATCCCAGCAGGCCCCTCCGAGGGAGAGGAGTCGGCCGACAAGCGGTGGAACCCAGGGCACCTGGCCCCAGAGCCTCACACGTCACAGGCCACGCTGCCCGGGGGTGGGGGCGTGTGGCAGGGGTCTATGCTGTGCATGGGGGGAGGGGGCGGCATGTCCACGTCGGGTGAAAAACACGGCAGGCTTAGCTACGTGGCGTGTGCACTGCGTGCGTGCATGACCAGGAGTGTGCCTGCCCGCACCGGCCCCTCCTGCACAGGTGGAAGAGCCGGAGCCAAACCACAGTGGGGGCGGGGCAGGCGGGGGGGTTTGATCTTCCCTCTGCCGCGGAGATGAGAGGGGCCTGAGAGGCAGAGATTTAAGGCCGGAGGGAGCAACGGGCTGCCAGCGGGGAGCACACATGAAAAGCTCCACAGTAATAACTGCGGCTGCAAAGCCCAGCAATTATACAACAATTAAAAGCTTTGACTCCCTGCTTTCAATCTGCCGGCCCCACCCCTCCCACAGCTGGCTGCCCCTGCAGGCTCCCGGCAAACGCTGGGGGGGCCGGGGGGGACAGAGGATAAAGAACACACTTTCCCCTTTTTAATTGGAGATCAAAAGTTGGAAGTGGAGCTGATCCCTGGAGGGTGGGAAGGAAGGGGTGTTGCCCAGCCCGCCAGCCAGCCAAGGAGGGTCTGGGAGGCGGCGGGGGGGGGGGGGGGGGACGAAGGGGGGGCAGGGCGAGACCCCCAGCAGCCCTCAAGGGGTCCAGGCGGCCACCCTGAGACCGGCGCTATTCCTGTAACCTCTGGGATTAGAAGCCGGACTCGGAGAGCACAGGACGCGGCCAAGGTCGCAGGCAGGGAGGCCCGCCTCCACGCCCCAGCGGTCTGCCCCAGCCCTGCACCCCGCAGTGTCGCCTGGGGGGACCTCTCCGTCCCTCACCTTGGCTCCCCTGCCTGTCGAGCGGGCGCAGGCTCTTGGCGGCCCCGCCCCGGCACATCAAAGGCACGGTGGGCGCTGGGCGGCAGGCCGCTCTGTAGTGGGGCCAGCACCCGCCGCACCCTACGCGGCGCGCCAGCGGCTCGTTGGGGAGGAGCGGGCAGCGTGCCCTGCAGTGAGGAAATCGCTGCCGGTCGGCTTTCCAGAGGAGCCGACGACCCTCACCCGGCACGCGCGCCCCCACCGGCTTCCCAGCAGCAGGAGCCCACGCCCGGAGGGTGGGCAGGCAGCCCGGCTCCGCCCAAAGCTCTGGTGTCTCCAAGAGGCGGCTGTGGCGGCGGCGGGGACACAGGTCCCCACACCCAGCGGGAGGACCGAGCTGCACACTCAGGCCGCACGCCAGTGGCGGAGCACAGGCGGTGCGAGCTGGGGCCGGGTGTCTGTTTGGCCAGTGAACACACGCCCTGGGCCCGGTCGGTCCCCGACAGGCAGCTACATCCCAGGGCGTCAGAGCTCGGGCGGTGACTGTCCCCCGCCCAGGACAGCTGCAGAGGGGAGCACATGGTCCCGCCTCACGCGGTGCTGGGGACAGGTTCCCAGTTTCCTGAGGGCAGGCTGGGCACCCCTGCACCCGCCCCCGGGCACGAGGTCGGCAGCGGGGCCAGCTGGGCGGCTCTGACATTCTCCCAGCATGCTCCTGGGCCTCCTGGCACCGGAGGAGGAGGGGACCGTGGTCCCGTCCCCAGGGCCCTGCAGCCGCAAACACAGACGGCCCAGCCTCCAGGGACACACGCGCCCTGCGTCTCCTCCGGCCTCCACCTGCCTCCCAGCAGCCCCCCTGCTGCCTCGGCCTCGTGGGGCCCCGTCCCTCTGCGGGGGTGCTCGGGTGTGTGCCGCGGTGCGAGTGGGCGTGGGTGGAGGGTGAGAAAGCGGGCCGCAGCCCCCGCACCGCAAGCCCTCGCCAGCCCCCATGGCCGGCGGACGGCTGGTGCCGGGGCCTCCTCTCCGGGCTCCCGGAGGCCACGTCCCACCCCCGAGGGGGAGGCACTTGCTGGCCCGCTCGCCCGCTTGCCCGCTCGCCCATTCATTCGTCCCTCCATCCGGGCGGTGCTAGAGGGGGAGCCGGGGAGGCCGTGCGTGCGGGGAGCAGGCGGGCAGCCAACGCCAGCCTCCCCGCCCCCTGGAGCAGGGCTGCCCAGTGGGCAGGACCCGGCGCGGCCACAGCCCCACACTCACAGCGTCTCCAGACTGCGCAGCCCCTCGAAGCTGTGGGTCCCCAGACGCTGGATCCGGTTGTTATGAAGATGCCTGTGTGGGAGGAAAGACAGGTCAGGCCGGGCGCCCACAGCACCGAGCCCGGGGAGGAGTGGGCGTGGGGGAGGGGCAGACGGCGGCCTGAGGGGGAAGGTGGAGGCTGACGCAGGACAGGATGGCCCCAAGGTCCCGCCCTGGACTCCAGAGGCAAAACGATGGGCCAAGACCCACTTCAGGAGTCACAGGCTCCGAGGCCGGGCTGACCACAGGCTACCCCTGTTGACTTCCGATTAGAGGGAAGCGGGCAGAGTGCCCTGGCCACAGCAGACACGGCTCCCGCTGCATTCTCGGAGCGGCCTGGTTCGGGGGGGCCCTGGCCTGCGGCTTCCTCTGTGGCCTTGCTCCCCAGGACCAGCCTGCCTGACTCAGTGGCCAGACGCACGGCAGGAGCCAGCAGCCAGCCGCTCAGACAGCGTGCACTCACGGCCCAGCGTTCTGTTAGAGCTGCAGCCGAGGCAAGCACGGTGCAGTCAGTGAGAGCTTCCTGGAGGCGGTGACCCAGAGCGGGGCCCTGGCGGGAAGGAGATCTGGACAGGCGGAGGGAGGGGCCCCCTAGGGACACAGTGCAGGCTGGGGAGGGGCCTGGCCGGGGCACACACAGGCTGGGAGAGGATTTTGAGGTAAGCAGCTCTTTGAAAATAAGTGACAGAGTGTTCTTCTCCCAGTTTCTAAGGAAATGAGTGAAAGAGCAAAACCCCACCATCGGCCCAGATATTACAAGTGGCACGAAGCAAGGACAGACGTAACCTCACGCAAGCACACGCAAAACCTGGCGGCAGAGCGGTCGCACAGGCGCGGAAACCAAGTCCCGAGAATTCTCCCGAAAACCCCCGCCCCTGAAGAGAGGCGGCTCGGTGCACGTCCTTCCGCTCCGCGCTGGCTTCCCAGCCCGCGGCTCCGGAACGGCCGGCAGCCCGAGGGGGCGCCTGGGCGGAGGGCGTGGCCCGGGCGGTTCACGGGGCCAGCGGAGCCGGTGGCCTGACGAGACCGGGCGCCTGCTCCGAGCCTCAGCTCCCTCTGTGGGGGCTCGGACATGCGGGGGACCCAGCGTGGCTGCAAGACCAGCCCACACGCTGTAGCTTGCGGGGGGGACCCCGCAGGCCAAGGGTGACGCACTTGGGGCGAGCAGACGGCTATCCGAGTGACCGTCCCAAAAGGGAGTCCCACGGCAATTTACGAAAGAGACGGGAAGGAGACGCAGGGATGCAAAAGGCGGCCGAGGGCCAGCCTAGGGGAAGGCGCCGCCCGCGCGGGGCCGGAGGGAACCGCAGTGGCCTCCCGCTGCCGACCGTCCGCCGCAGCACTGGGTCGGGGGCAGACTTTTAACAATGAGGGAGAGAGTGATGACGCGCACACTAGGGAAGCACGTCGAGGGCCAGAACCGCATCCCCCACAACTAGTCGCCGAGTTTGTGACAGCTACGCAGCCGCCGCGGAAAACCAAGCCGCACAAAGCGGAGACGCCTCGGCGCGCAGGGCTGAGGAGACGCAGGTGAGGACGGCCGCGAAGGGGGGCGGAGGGACGGGGCGGCTCAGGCAGAGTCACTGGTGTCCCCGAGGGAGGGCCCCACAAGGAGACAGAAGCAGCACTCAGAGGCCAGACACAAAGGACAAGCCTCCAAGACGAGGAAGGACTGGAATCCGCAGCTGAGAAGCGTCCATTGTTCTAGGGGAGCTGGGTGCGGGGCATCCCACCACGGCCTGGGATCCAGGATTAAAGGCAGAAAGGAAATCGCCCGCACAGGGAGGCGGGCGGACCCCCAGGGGGCCTGCAGGTCCTCAGCCTCGTCACCCGCTGCCCCGGGTCCCAGCCGGGACAGCCCCGCCCACAGGGAGCATCTGATTCACTGGAAACACACAGGCCGCCTTCTGGGCGGGAACTGTCCCCCGCCCCCACCAAGGGGTGGGCTTTCCCCTGGCTGCTCCCCAGTGTCACCCAACTGTCATTTCTCCCTGCCTCCTGCTGACATCCCTCCCCGCTCCGCAGCACCTCTGGTCTCAGTCTCAGCTTTGCAAACACACCCCCTGCACCCAGCCCCCTCCTCTGCACCGTTCACTCAGCCTGGGGTGCTGGGCGCCTCGGGCAGCCGCCGGGGACAGGGTGCTGGGGCGCACGGTCCAGGCGGCAGACGCCAGACGTGCAGCGGTGACCCAGCTCCCTGATGCCCCCTGGGGCTCTCCTTCCCTGCACTGCACAGCCTCCTCGCCTGTCCCCGCCAGTCCCGGCCAGGCCCTGCCCTCGGACCCCCTGGGCTCCGACGAACCTGACCACCGGACTGTCCTTCCCGCCTGTCTTCCCCCTGGGCCGTCACCCGGGAGGGCAGCAGGGGCCGCGCCCCACGCTCCAGTGCCTCTGCCACCATCCCCGACGCAGACGCTGCTCTGGGCCCGTCCCGAGGCCCTCGCTTCCCCGTCGCCCTGACCCCACTCCCTCGGGGCGCTGCCGGGGTATCCCCGAAGCTGGAGCCAAACGCCGGCTCTGCTCCTGCGCCGCAGGTATGGCTGCCGCCCCCAGGAGGGACGCGTGGCCACGCGGCGGCCGGGTGCGGCCCATGAGGATGCCCGCCGGGGTCTCCAGGCCCCCCCGGCCAGAGGATTAGACAGAGCAGTGCTGGCCTGCCCAGGAGCAGAGCCCCTAACATGAGCTCCTGTGGCAAGCGGCGCGGGACCGCAGCAGTCACCGCGAGCTCTGTAACTGCCCCCGAACGCGCCCATCGCTCACAGCAATTAGCTGGGCGCTAATTTGCGCGGCAGTCGCCCCCCGGGGAGGCAGGCTCGCCCAGCGCCCAGGGCTGCCGGGGCCACTGTCTCCTGGGTAATCGCCCCGCAGGCCGCGCAGGCTAATCACCGGCGGCGGCTCCTCTCCGCTCCCTGGGCCTGGGAGCCGCGGACGCGTCCTGTCTCCGTGCCACACGCGGGCGGCCCTGCCCGGTCGCCAGGCGGGGCGGGAACCTCGCCAGGAAGCCTCGGTCCGCGTCGTAAGCCTCGCCCGGTCTCTGCCCTCCGAGCGCTGCCCTCCCGCTCCGACGACGCTGGGCCTCGTGCCGGCCCCACGGGGCAGCGGGGCCCCCAGGGGCCCCCAGGCTGGGGGGGCGGCCTCCCCGCGGGGCCGGGACGCGGGGCGCGGGGGCACTCACAGCACCACGAGGCTGCTGAGGTTCTGGAAGGCGTAGTCGGGGACGCGGCGGATGCGGTTGAGGGCCAGCGTCATGGCCTGCAGGGCGGGCAGGCGGCCGAGGGCCCGGACGGGGACCTCGCTGAGGGCGTTGTCGTCCAGCCAGAGGTGGCGGAGGCGGGGCAGCCCCTCGAAGCTCCGCTCCGGGACCCGGGAGATGCGGTTGGCGTCCAGGCGCCTGGGGGGAGAGAGGAGGGAGGGGCCAGTGGGGCAAGACGCGGGCCGAGGCTGGGGCTGGGCGGGCGGGCGGGCGGCTGGGACCCCCCGGCTCCGAGGGGGCGCCCGGGGGCGAAGCTGGGACCCGGCCCCCGCGCGCCCCCTCGGCCCGGTCCCAGATTCCGCCCCCCTCGTGGCCCGCGGCTCCGGATCCCTGGGCCGTGGGGTCCTGCTTCCTCTCAGACCCCCGCGTGGGTAACCAGTGATTCCCCCGCACCCCGGCTTCCACTGCGCCCCTGCTCCAGAGGGCCTCGCTCCTCCCCTGCCCCCGCCAGGCGTCACTCCAGGCGCCCCGCCCCCCGCGGCCGCCTCCCCTGGATGCTGGGGCGGAGGCCGGGTCGCCTGGGGCTTTGTGCCAACACGGACCCCAGCCCCTCCCCGGGAGAGTCTGGCTCCGAAGGGGGTGCTGTGGGTGAAGACGGCCCTCGAGGCGCCCGCCCACGGGCGGTTTGGTCGGGTAGAACAAGAATGTGACAAGAGCGCCCCCGGCCCTCCCCGCAGTCACGGCCCGGTGAGGGGGTGGGGAGCAGGGAGGGCCCCCGGGAGCAGGCGATGCGGGTCTGGGGACCCAGGGGGAATTCGCCAGCGGCGCGGGGGACGGTGCCCAGTGGAGGGGAGCGGGGGGTCGGACGGGAGCAGGGGAGAGGAGGGCCGGTGGGCGAGCCGGCGGGGGGTGCGCTCTGGAGAAGGCTCCGGACCCGCCACGTGGGACCAAAAAAGCCTTTCGGGCCGCTCCCGTCCCCAGGTGGGTGAGCAGCCCGGACGGACCCGGTTTGGCAGGAAGGAGAGAGCGGTTACAGCAACGAAGCCCGGAGTCCAGCCCGCGGCCCCAGCGGCCCCCCGACGCGTGCGCCCGCGCATCCCGAGTGGCTGTGGGTGACCCGCGTCACCTGTGCTAACACGGCAGGCGCGCGGGGTTGCGCAGGCCAGCCGGGGCTCCGGGGACCGCGCAGCCCCCGAGAGCCAAGCCGCTTGCCACACCCCCAGGGCCGGGGCTGAGGCGGGGGTCCCCGGGGGCAGGGGGTCGGAAGACCTGGCCACAGACGCCCCAGCAAGCTGGGGAGACGGGTCCCACGTGGCAAACGGGGCGATTTAGGTGGAACAGCTCACTGACAGCAACCGCAGAACCGGGTGAGGGGAAACGCAGAGTCACGGGCTCTCTCAGGCCCCCAAGGGCCAAAGCCTCGCTCACAGACAACTGAGGGGGAAGGGGTGCCCGGAGCGAGGGGGCTGGGGCGCCAGCGGGCTTCTCCCGGCTTCTCCCTGCCAGCCGGCTCCCCGCCCAAGGGGGCAGGACGGAGACGCCCCCTCGGAAAGCACATTTCCACTGGGAACCCCGGCCCCCAGCTGCAGACACTTCCTGGGACTTTCGGTTCTCACCCACCAACGTCCGCCAGGGCTTAGCTGAACACAAGACGGGCAGATGCAGGGCTCCTCGGGGACCCCAGCTGCCCCTGGGAGGTGCCGGGCACTCACGTAAAAGGGCTCGTGCACGCGACCACGGCAGAGGCCTCGCCCCCTCAGGAGCCCCCAAGCCTCGGGCCGGCCTCCCTCCGCCGGCCGGCACTGACGGACAGACAGGCCAGGGCCCACAGGCCGACAGAGCCCTTCCTTTCTGCACATGGGGGGGCACCTGAGCGCCCCTCTAACCTGACTGGTGTTTCAATCGGCAGCCACGTGTGAAAATCACGACCCTCCCCGCTGCAGGCCGCACGGGACGGGCTCCGCGGGGACCACCACGAGCTTCCCCTGGAAACACTGGCCGACGGCTCCGGGCGGAAGGCCAGCTCCGTGGGTGACCGTCCCGGAACCTGGGGGGGGGGCCACCAGCAGCCGTTTCCCAGTGCCGCCGGGCTGCTCACGCCCAGCTGGTTTCTGAGGTCCTTCCCGGCCTGCCTGAGCGGGGCTCTGCGGCTCCCGGCCCTGCCCTGGCCAAGGGCAGCCGTGGCTGGTGGAGGGAGAGGCAGACGGGGTCTCCCGATCCGCCTCCCCGGGGAGGGCGGCGATGTCGGAGGGTTAGGACACGTAAGTGACACCCCGGTGTTCTAACGGTACTAAGAGCCCCCGCGGCAGCCTCTGGGGTAAGAGGGGAACCGGGCTCACGCTGACACTTTTAAAGGCACCCGAGGGGAGGGGGCGGGGGAGGAGGAAAAGCCCCCCCGGGTTCTGGCTCCCTAACACGGTGCCGGTCCCTCCCTCAGTCTGTCTTCTCCCTTCCCGTCCCCGCGCCTCGCAGTTTCCCTGGGGATCAGCGTGGGAACGGGGCGGTGAGGGCTGCGAGGTGCTGGTCCTCTGCTCCCCCGCCTCCCGCCCTCCCACCCATTCATCCACCCACTATCCATCTACCCATGCATCTATTCGTGCATCTCTCTGTCCATCGGTCCATCCGTCCATCCGCCCCTCCCTCCGTCCGTCCATCCGTCTGCCCACCCATCCTTCCATCCGCCCATCTGTCTAACCCTCCGCCTGTCCATCCGCCCTTCCCTCCGCTCACACAGATGTGGGACGCCAGCCCCCGCCCCGGGCTGCGATCTTGTATGCCTTGCTCGGTCATGCGGGCTTCCAGTCCACTCCACACCTGTTAGCTCGGGTTAAGATCCCCCCGGAGTGACTCTCTCACCAGCCCCGTTTGTCAGACAGTCCCCCGTTCCCCACTTCACCTGGGAACTGTGCCTTTGCCTGCTCTCCATCCCGGAGTTCACGGTTTTTCATCTGCCCTGTTTGAAATATGCCTCTGCCTCCACTTCTCAAAGGCCCACTCACAATTCCTCTCCTCCAGGAGCCTCGTGACCGAACCCCGCGCGCAGAGCTCTCCTCCTGCCCACCCCGACCTGCAGCCTCCAGTCTAGGAGGGAACCAAGGAAACAGGTAAACACTCGGGGCAACGTCACCGCAAGAGCTCACAGCAGCACATCCGCAATAACCAAGCAGAGGAAGCCACTCTGTGTCCACCAGCCAAAGCTGGACAGACCAGATGCGGTCCGCCCACGCCGCGGAATATTACTCGGCCACGAACAGGAAAAGGCCGGACGTGTGCGTGGACGGAGCTTGAAAACGCTTCACTTGGCGAGAGAAGCCGACGGAGAAAGCAGCGTGTGCTGTGGTTCCATTCAAGGGACGCGTGCAGAGCAGAGAATCCGGAGGTGGAACGCCACCAGAGCCTGTCAGGGGCTGTGGGAAGGGGACCGGCCCCCAGCGAGTACCGGTTTTCTTGTGGGGGAGACGAAAATGATCTGGAATTAGACCGTCGCGATGGCTGCACGTTTGTAAATTGGCCGAAAACAACGCACTGTCTGCTAAAAGGCTGCGTTTTGTGCTCCTAGTTTTTTAAATGCCCGAGGCTGAGATGAATATGCTGGTCCGGAGAGAAGGGACACGCAGCCAGGCCCCGGGAGGCTGCGGCTGCACATGGGGCGGGGGCGGGGCGCGTGCGCCGTGGGACACGGCCGCTCACGGAGAGGCAGCAACGCTCTCCAGCCCTGTCTCTGGGTGGTACAACTGCGGGTGATTTTCAGTTTCCTCTTTTTAGTTTTTGTATTTTCTAAATTTTCTACAATGAGTCAGAACAGAAATAAACATGTTGTTTTAAAAACAAATGGCGTCAGGGTGTAATTAAGGCCCAGACGCTGGAGCTGAGAGGAAGGAGCCGGCGGGGATGGGAGGGGGGCGCTGGGAGGGAGGGCAGCGGGCGCAGCCCCCGGGTGGCACGGACGCCACGCCCCACTTCAGGCACCGTCTCTGTGCCCCGCGCTTCCCTGGCTCTCCTGTCTGCGGGTCCCCGGGCCCTGGCCACAGAGGTGCCCAGCCCTCGCTGTGGCCCAGGCTCTCCCTGGCAGGCGTCTCTTGACCGACCCCACTCAGCGAGGGTCCCCAAGCAACACTGGACCCATGTCAGGGCTGGGGGCTGGACACCGTCAGACTCAGAAGCCCAGCGGGCCGCACGAGGCTGACAGACGGCAGGCGGGGGTGGCCCACAGCCCCGGGCCAGGCACAGCGACTTTCTCAGACCTTACGGACCCCAAAGGTCACCGCCCGGGGTCCCCGCCCTGCCTGCTGAAGCCGGATCTCTAGACAGCACCTAAAGGGACCGGTTTCCTGTGCCCACGGCCTGTCCCTCATGCCAACCTGCATTCCAACCAGGTGGTCCTCCACGCCCTGGCAACGGGTAGGTCGGGCGGCTACAGGCCCAGCACAGACGAGAGCTTTGCCTGGGCATCCCTGGGGCTCTCGCCGGGCCTCCCCCCGCCGCCCCGGGGAGGACCAAGGGCACCTGGTTCTGGTACTTGGTGCTCCCAGTGCGCCCAGCGGGCTCAGAGGTAGATGGAATCAGCCTAGGAGGACTTCCTGGAGGAGGCGCGTGTTGCACTGATATAGGCAGAGGAGAGGCAGGACTTGGAGGCAGAAGAGGGCAGGCTTGGGGAGCGGGGGTGGGGAGTCGGGGGAAGCGACTTCCCAGGAGTTCGAGGGGAGCAGGGACGCCAACGGAGAGCCGGGGCGACCCAAGGCGATGTGCCCCAGCCGGGCCCTGGCGGCCGCGTGGTTTCTGGGCAGAGGAGCAGGATTGCTGACCAGGGGCGGCCGAGCTCCGGGGTCTCTGGGCCACATGGGAAGAAGAGTTGTCTTGGGCCACCCATGAAATGCCGTGTGACACGTAATCACAAAAACATCTCGTCACGTGTCAAGTGAATTGAGGATTTTGCGTTGGGCCGCATTCGCAGTCATCCTGGGCCCCCCGGCTTAGGCCGTGGCTCAGCGGTGCTGTCTGATGACCCGGGGGCGCCCCGGGGCCCCTTCACCAGAACCCCAGACCCGTTCACCCCCCCACCCCAGAACTAAGCACCAGGGGCCCAGCCTCCCTCCACCGCCCCCTCTCCCCCCCGCCCCGCCCCCTCCCTCCCACGGGCCCCGCCCCTCCCTCCCACGGGCCCCGCCCCCACCCAGGTGTGTGTTCGGAGGGGTTTGCACTGCAGGGCCCTTCAGGCCCAGGTTAGCAGGTGTGCTGCAGAGAGGCGGTCAGTGCGGGCTGGGGAGCGGGCGGGCCCGGCAGCTGCACCCCGGGCCGGGGGCTCCCCGAGGGGGCCGGCAGCAGCTCCGCTCCCGCTGCCGCGGCGTCCCAGCTGGGTTAGGGCCTCTGGCTGGCTCTTCACCCCGCACGCCAGCCCCGGCCTGGGGCTCCAGAAACTACGGACACCCCAGAGTCAGCACCGGCCTCCCCTTCAGGGGCACCTCGGTTCCCCACGAGGGCGGAGGGGCCGCTGGACGGACCCTCCGCAGGGGCCGGTGATTCTAAGCGGTGTCAGTCTTGGCCTGGGAAGGCGCCGCGTGGCTCGTTAGAAGAATAGCGTTTGCTTCCCACGCGCTGTGTTGCAGCGGCTGCACATACCAACATGCAGGCCCTGACCGCACAGCCGGCCGCCCGCGGCCCGCGGCCTGGCCCCCGCCCCCTGCGCCCTGCGCCCAGGTCTGAGTGCTTCCCGCCTTCCACCCCGAGTTCCTGCCAGCCCTCGGTCCCGTCCCAGCTCTGCCTGCGGCCCCAGCCCCCGAAGGGACAGTGGAGGCAGGAAGGGCCTTCTCCCCCTTTCTCAGAACTTCCAGGAGTTAATTTCTTAAAGGAGATGCAGGGAGAGCACGGAGATGGGAGGCGAAGAGACAGCTTTGCGAGGGGACAGTGGTGGCCTCCGGCCCGTGGGCGGCCAGGGCCCCTCTAGGCCTGACACCCCGTCGACCGCACACCCAGAGCAGCTCGCCCCCGGGCCTGTGGGCCTGTCCCGCCTCGTCCCCCGGGCCCCGGCCCCGTCCACGGAGCCCACACCAGGCCTGGGCTTGTTTACGGGAGGGCGAGGGCAGGAATTGGCTCCAAGTCCAAACGCAAGTGTCGGGGCCGCTGGGAGCCACTGGGACGGGTCGCCTTCCAGAACAAGCGACCTCAGAGCCTCCTGGCTGAAGAGGCCACAGAAACTCCTGAAGGGGTCACCCGCTTTCGGAGGGAAGGCGTCTAGACGTCTGCAGGCCTGGCCTGGGCTGCGCTCGCCGGGAGCCCCGGGCGGTCACTGCCGCTCTGCTGCCGGTTTCCTGCCCTGCAGGCCGGGCAGCCGGGCAGGGCGACCACCCACGCCCTGCAGCTCCTGAGGCAGGGCCCTGCGGTTGGGGCAGGCCGCCTCCCCCTCCGCGGCCTCGCAGGCGGCCGGAGCGGGAGCCACACGCGGGCCGCCCTTGCTGGCCGCCGAGTGAGTTTCCGTGCTCCAGCCAGCGGCTGGCAGACACCTGGGCCTCCCGGGCTCGTAAACGGGTGGAAAATTACTCATGGACTCGAAAGAGATCACACTTTCCCAGCCCCTGACCAGTCTTCTCCCCCTAGGGTGGCGGCGGCCGGCGGAAGGGGCCGCAGGCCCGCGGGCGCTGTCCCCACCCTCCCGGGCTGCAATCCCAGGCTTCGCTCCCCTCCGCGCTGAGGCGGCAGAGCGGCAGAGTCCTGAGAAGACGCTATGGCCCCCGGAAGACGCCCGGTGGGTCTGAGGGGGCGGTCAAGCCCCTGCTCCTCTGGCCCTCCCTCCCTGTGGGCACAGACTCTGTGGGAGGTCCTTCCCAGAGTCTAACCTTGGTGTCTCCAGCTGCACCCCCAAGAGGTCATGGGCATCTCCCAGCCCTTAGGCGGGTGCACCACCAAACCAACCCAGGCCCTACCTCCGGTCCGTGGGCACAGGTGACGGGGGGAGAGGGGAAGCGGCCTGAGGCCTTTGCCTCTGTCCTCTCCCACGGGGGAGGGCTGTCCCATTTCGGGGCTCTGCCTGGGACCTTAAACCGCACCTGGGTTGCCGGCTCCCACAGCCCCTCCCATGCGGGTGCCCCGGCCCCCCGAGGTCCCTCAGGCCCGGGCCTGTGGGAGCTCCAGAGGCCCGGGGGGCCGGGTGGCTGGGGGACCCGCATGTTGCTGGACCGAGGCGCTCCCGGCGGGCAGGGCACCATGCCGCTCCTGGGTGGCCGCCTCTGGCCAACGCCATCCCGCACCGGCCTCCACGGCTGAAGGGCCCGCCCAGCACCCCAGGGCCCGGCCCAGGCAGACACGCCGTCAGCAGCGCCAGCAGCCAAACGCCCGTGTTCAGACCGTCCTACGCAGGGGGCTGCGCGCCCACCCACCTCAGGGTGGCCTCTGCCCCAGACATGTAGCAATCAACGCCCGGAACCTCGGGGATCCAAATACAGCAGCCTGTAATCACGGAGCCCGAAATAGCCATGCCAGGGAGCCATCCGCCACCTCGCGTGTCCCCGGGGACCCCGCGGCCAGGCCCCACCGCGTGGCTGGGCCTCGTGGTCCTCGCCGGCCGGCGGGCGGGCAGGCGGCACTGACAGCAGTCACCGGACCCCGGGGGCAGCTTGGGGGGCTTCTCCACAGCAGACGGGGCCTCGCCAGGACGGGGGCCTGCACCAGAGCTGCCCAGACCCGGGCCCTGGCTGCTCCGGGCACGTTCCTCGCCCCCCCACAGCCCCTTCCTCGCCCCGGTGCCCGGGAGGTCTGAGAAGCGTCTCCTTGGGGTCCCCAGGCCCACAGGCCTCTGGAGACGGTTTCCGCCCAGGAGGCTGTGAGCAGCGAGGGACCCCGGCTGGGCTCCCCTGCCCTCGGCACCAGCGGCCCTCTCGGCTCGGCCCCCGGCTCTGCCTCCGACCCACTGGGGGTCCTGGGCAGGGTCCTGCGCCCCAGGTCTGCACGTGGAGGAGGGGGCTGTCCCGCAGGCGCTGTCCTCACAGTGGGAAGACAGAAGAGCCGCTTCTGGTGAGACGCTCCCGACTGCCCTTCACTAATTAGGCACAACCAGCCTGATGCCGTCTGCCAGGGGGGCTTGGGGGCACCGATAAAAGCCAGGGGGTGCTAGGGATCAATGCGGATGCCCCTGCTCCCCAGGCGACCCACGCCGTGCCCTCGCGTGGCCTGCACACTGCGCCCCTCCAAAAACTCACGTTCACTGTCTGCCCCCGTGTGACGGAATTAGGGTCCGATGAGGTCGCAAAGGGGGCGCCCCCTGGGGGTCAGGGCCCTTGTAAGTCGGGGGGGGCTTGCTTCCCGGCTCTGCTCCCCTCCACACGAGGGCCAGTGAGGAGCGGCCGCCTGCGCCCCGCAACGGGGCCTCCCCAGAACTCCAGCCTCCGGGCGGTCGGAAATGAGCTTCTGCTGTTCACACCCTTTCCTTGCGGAGAACGAGCGCCCCGGACCCCCGAGCGACTCGGGGATGTGCCTGTGCCCCACCGGGAAGCCCTCGTGTCCCTCCACGCGATGCACCCCCAGGACCCTGGCTTGTGCCAGGTGCGGGAGGAGCCGGCAGCCTCGTGTCCCCACCAGCGGAGCAGCCGCCTGCGGAGCCGCAGGATCCCACCGAAGCCGAAGCCGAAGCCGCAGCCGCCGCCGCGCTGCGCGACCCGAAGCACCAGGCCTCACTGGCTGCCGAAGCCCCGTGAACACGGCCCTCTCCCTGTGGAGACTCGGGCACTTGGGACGAAGCGGCCAATTCTGCCCCCGCCCCTGTCCTGGCTGCCCCCCTGCTCTGCCGGTGGTGCCCTGAGCAAACGCGGGGCCTTCCCTTGGGAGGGCAGGAGGGGGAGCCAGCACCCGCTCTCCTGGCCGCGGGCCTTCTGACCCTCCGCCACGTGGTCCAGCGTGTCCTGATGGGGGAGGCGGGGGAGACTGGGGGCAGCGGCCTTGCCCTTGTTGCGGGGGGGGGCCTCGGGGAGGGGCGCGACTGGCCCTGTGTCTGTGGGTCCTGGGTCTGTGGGTCCTGGCGAGAAGCCTCCTCCCGCCCAAGGAGGGTCAGGACAGGCTGATTCCACACCCACGGGCCAAACCCTGGGCTGAGAGGCCTTTGTCCTGACACATGACGCGCTAACTGTGCCTCGGTTTCCCCCATGGATAAACCTATGCCCAGTCTCCAACTTTGGTTTCTCCCCAAACATCTACACGCTGGTCCATCAGCTGGAGTCGGGCCTACGGTTGCCTTGGAGACACACATCAGGCCCCAGAGTGGGGCTGCACCTGCCCGGCCGACCCCGGCTCCATCCTGCATCCACGACGCCCCTACTGGGCAGGAGAGGAACTGCATGGTCTCTGGAGAGAGGCGGGGCCATGGGCAGCCAGTGCGTCCCCAGCACCGTGCCACCCAAGCGGGGGAAACGGGTGTCTGGGCCACCCCGCCCCAAAGCCCTGGAGCCTGGAGCAGCCCACGCGGAGGAGGCAGCCTCTTCCTGACACTTCTGGGGGGCGGCAGACTCCACCCGCCCCGGGCTCCAGGGCAGAGCGCCAGACGCCCCAGGACGGCTGCCCTGGTGGCCCCACCTAGGGAGGTCCCATTCCCACAGTGCTCGCGGGGCCCGAGCCTCCCTTCCCCGGCACGCCCTCGGGTCAGCACACAAGCCTCCGATGACAGCACAGCCCGACCCAGCGAAGCCCGGAGCGCGGGCTGTCTGGTCTTGGGGGACCAAGGCGGGGCAGAGGAGGGGGCGTGGGGGCGCCCGGCCAGACTCACAGAGACTGCAGGCTTGGCAGCGGCCGCAGCGCCTCGGCGGGGACGCCTCCCAGCTGGTTGTTCTGCAGCATCCTGCGGGGAGAGCAGGCGCTTGGAGGACGCACGGCCCGCGGAGCCGGGGCGCCCCCGACACCCCACCCCGACCAGACCCCCAGCTCTGGGCCCGAGGGAGTCCTGGCCCAGCCCTGCCCGTCGTGGGGTTGCAGGGGCTGTGCAGGGGTCAGGCGGGGTCACGGGAGGGTGAGGCAGAGCCAAAGAGGAGGAAGCAGAAGCAGCAGAGAGATGTGCAGGCGGCAGCGAGGCCAGAGGTCGGAAGACGCGCCTGCCCCGGCGGGAGCGGCTCAGCGGACTGAGCGCCGGCCTGTGGACCGGAGGGTGGCTGGTTCGATCCCCAGTCGGGGCCCAGGCCTGGGCTGCGGGCCCGGTCCCCAGTGGGGGGCGTGCGAGAGGCAACCACACATGGATGTACACGCCCTCCCTTCCCCTCTCTCTAAAAATAAATAAATGAAACTAAAAAGAGAAGAAGAAGAAGCGGTGCCTCTGGCCCGAGGTCGCTCAGCTCACAGCTGCGGGAAGAGCGGCGCGTTTCCTAACCCTCACGTTTGGTAGCAGGAACAGCGGGTGCGCTGGACGCTGGTCTTAGACCTTGACGTGGATTAGCGCACACTTACCCAGCGGGCACAGCCCACGGCCTGGGTTATGCCAGCAGCCAGGGTGAGGACCGGGGGCTCCCGCGTCCCTGCCCTCCCATCGCCTTGAACTCCCAGCGCGGCAGAACGAGGGCAAGCTGGGCTCCCCGCGGGCAGGGGCGAGAGGAGCTCCTTGGGGGACGGGGAGGGGACAGGCCAGGGATGGGTCCCCCGGCCCCTGCCCAGCGAGGGAGGGGTGGCTGCGTCCCCCAGGGGCCTGCCGCCGAGCCAGGCTCTGGGCCGCCCGGTGGGTCCTTCCCAAGGACAATTGCGCTTCATGGGAGGAAGTTAAACCTGTGCCTCTGGGGCGTCCTGAGCGTGGGGACACCCTGCGCAGGCCCGGGAGTCGGACAGCTGCGGAGCCCCAGCTGCGTGACCGTGTGCAAGCCCCCGACGCTCCTCGTCCGTGACCTGGGACGAGGACGACGACCTCGCCCAGCAGTGGCCGGTAGCAGCGGAAAGGCCACAACTTAGGAGCTGACGTGGCGAGTTATTACCGGTATCCGGTCACCCGCTCGCTCGGCCTCGGGTCCCTCAGCTTCCCAGGAATAAACCTCCTGCGTTGTCACGTTCGGCGACCCAGGGCGTCTCCTGCCCTGTGTGCATCTGTCCGGCCTGGGCAGAGGGCGCCCCCGCGTGGCATCTCAGGGGCTGCCTGGGCCGCCCCGAGGCCTGAGGACGCTTGGGGCCAGGGACAGGCATGATGGCGGAGTGGGCAGGGAGGGGACAGCTGCCCACATCCCCCCGGGTCCCTCCGCAGGCCCCAGGGGGAGTCACGCACAGCAGAGCCCCCTTCCTCAGACCCCCGCCCTTCCCTGAACCAAAGCCCCTCAGCCAGCGGTTCCCGGCCGGCGCACCCAAGAATTTTAAAACACGTGACACCTGACTAGTTAGCCGGGGGCACCGACCTCTTTTCCTGCAGCTTCTCAAGCGAAAAACCGACAACAGCCAACACACTAGCTGTCAGGTGTGAATAAATCAAAATTATATGCATTTTTTGTCAGATAGGCAAAAAAGATACTTTTGGGTCTGCCGTAACATTTTAGCGGTGACTTTCTGTGCCGTGAGGGGACAGAGGCCGCCCGTCGCTGCCCCGGGCGAGGGGCCGGCCTGGCCGTTGGCCCCGACTAGGGCCCTGCGCCCGGCCGGCCCTCCTTGCCCCTGACTCCAGGTTTAAAGGCTGGAAGGACTTCGCCGCAGCCCTGCCGTCCCCACGCGGGGCGGGGACTCCGCCCTGGCCACAGAGCAATCGGCAGAACCCGGCCGGGCCCAGCCCCGCCGCCCGGGCCTGCGCTGTGGTGCCCCCTGGTCCTGCTGGGGGGAGGCGCCCGCACCCGCGGCCTCAGCTCTGTGGCTGCGTGTTGCTGTCACCCGGGCGGGTTTCAAATCCCAGGGTCCCGGCCTCGCCCTGGCGATCGCGTGCCAGGCACAGGGGCGTGAGGGCAGCGAGGGAACGCCCTCTAGGGCTGGGAGATCGTTGTGCCGAGGAGCGGCTTCGCCACTCGGTTCTCCTTGCGGGTCTGAAAAAGGGGAATGGCCCGGACTGCGGCCCTGATGGCGGGGTGTCAGCCCCCAGACCCCCCGGCTCACCTCCGAGGCGGCGAGGGGCTGACCTGGGGCCGGGGACCGGGCGGCCTCCCAGGACAGGGCTCCACAGGGGTCAAGGGCCCAGCGGGCGGTGCGCCACCGGCCGGCTGTCCTGGGCTCCGACCTGCCGCCTCTCCGGCCTCCCAACTGGGCTAAGCGGCGGGGGCGGGGGCCCCGGCTTTGACTCGCTGCCTCATGCAGGCAAAGAAGAAAGCGGGGCCCGGCGCTGGGCCGGAGCCTCGGAGAGCCCGGCACGCCGCCCGCTCTCATCCGGCGGCGGCAGGCCTGAGCCTGCACCGAGCGCAGACGTGCCACCACGCGGGCCTCCGCCCCCCACCCCAGCCTGCGAGGTGATGGGGGCAGGACAGGCCAGGGCAGGGAGGCAGGGGGCCGGCTCGCGAGGGGACAGGTGAACGGAGGCCGGGCAGAGGCGGCCCCCAGGGCAGGGCAGAGGGTCAGGGGAGGTGAGAGGACGGGGAGCCCCGGGGGCGGGCCCAGAGCCAGGTGGAACGGGCGGCTTCCTCTGCCCTCGGCCTCAGAAAAGGAGGACGAGGACGCGCGGGGCTGGGCACGGGGACCGCTGACAGGCTAGAGGCAGGGAGCTGGCGGCCAAGGGCCACCACCAGCCCAGGAACAACTCTGAGCGAATTAGAAACCATTCTTTCCAGGTGGGCGAAGCCCACGCCGACACAGGGCTGGGTCTCAGCACCTGTCACCTCGCGGCCGCAGGGCCTCGTGCCGCCCGGGCGGGGCGCAGGGGGCAGGGGCCTGGGGAACCGCCCGCCGCACGTGGAAGCTCCGAGGGCTCATTCCAAAGCGCCAGGGTCAGCCCCCACGGCCCTCGTCCCCCTCACCAGCGGCTGTGGGACGCGCCCTGCCCAGGAGACCCTCCCGCCCCCCAGACGCTGGGCACCCCGCCCCACGCGCTGCCCCACACGCGCCATCGGCACCTCAGCGGGGCTGTGGGAGGACACTCGGCTGGGGCCCCCGCCTTCCCTTCTCTGACGGCCACCAGCTCTGCGGCAACGGGGGACTTAGTGACAGAGCGCTGGCCCTCTCCGGCTGTCACCTTCCTTCTGCTTCAAGGGCAAGGGACCGGAGCAGAGATGAAGGAGCGTGACGTCCGAGGGAGGCGTCAGGATCGCACTGAGAGGGGACACGGCGCGGCAGCCGCAGAGACCGGGGTGGGGCTCGCGAGGCCGGGGGCGGAGGGCGTCTCCCCGCGGACGGCCGCCCCGTCCCGGCCGAGTCTCGGGGACAGCGCTTGGGTCGGCCACAGCCTGGTCCCACAGAGCCCTGACCGGGGCCATCCGTCAGGTCCCGGGACAGGACGGTGGGCTCCCTGGGGGCCGCCCACGGGCGGCCACACACCACAGCGCTCGCCACGGACAAAGCCACGCAGGGTGGAAGCGCGCGTCAGAGAGGAAGTGCCGAGAGGGGGTGACGGGCAGGGTGACAGGCAGAGCCGGCTCGGGGACCCCACTCGCGCCGCGGTCGGCTTGCTCACACTCACAGGATCTTCAGGCTGTGGAGGCCGGAGAACGCTCCTCCTGGGATGTGGGCGAGGCGGTTCCCCGAGAGGCGCCTGCGGACAGAGCAGAGGGGGCAGGGACGGGGCCGCGGAGGCCACAGTCAGCCTGCGGGGCCGCAGGGGCGCGCGGCGCTGGCTCCCACGTTCCCAGGCGACAGTGGCGGTGCCACCCTGGCGGCCTCCCCGCAGGGCGCCTGCCCTCGCCCGCGGCTCCCAGAGGCCCGGCCCTGCCCTCGGGTCACGGGGCCGGCAGGGCTGGGGCAAGGTCCGCTCCACGGCCACCTCCTTCGGGACGGGGCCTCCCCGGCACCCCGGGGGCGGCAGGCGGCGCCCTCTGCTGTCAGCCCAGGACACCGCCCGCCGCACAGAGGCGCCTCGCCCCCGCCGGTGCCCAGGGTGAGGGGGATGCGACCCCCAGCGGGGCTGGCCGCGCACTCTCAGAAAGAGCGGGGCAGGGGGGGCAGGCGTGAAGCTGGGGAGGCTTCAGGGCCAGGAGCAACCGACCGTTCGCACAGTGGACACAAACCCCATGGCACCCCAAGGACCTCTGCTGGGGCAGAGACAACACGGAGCAGGACGGGGACCGGGGGGGCAGGGCGGCAGGCCAGGCGCTGCCCGGGCAGGTCACTGGTTCACGATGCCCGGTGGGGAGAAAGACGGACCCTCCAGGTCGGGGGAGAACCCTGCTCGGACGCAGGAGGGACCCAAGGGTGGCGCCCAGGACAGGCCTTGCGGAGCCGAGCCGGCCGGGTAGGCTCGATGCAATGCCCCAAGTGAGGGGCCGTCTGAGGCAACAGCAGTGGGAACGGAGGGAAGGGAAAAAGCCACCAGGACTTGGGACCGGCGGGGTGACCTCCAGGGTGAGGGGCGGGTGCTCACAGAAAGAGGGGGAGCCACCGCGAGGAGCTGCGTTCAGGGAGGAAAGGGAGCCGGAGCGCGGGGTTCCTGCTCCTCAGGGCCCCTCGCGGCCACCCTCGGGCCCCGCCCGGGCCACCCTGCCGTCCCCACAGCGGGCCGGCTGGCCGAGGCGGCCCCAGCCCTGCCCCTGCCCCTGCCCCTGCCCCTGCCCCCGCGGCTACTCACAGCTCCTCCAGGAAGCGCAGGTGGTGGAAGCGACCTGGCGGCAGCTCCGTGAGGTTGTTCATGCTCAGGTCTCTGCGCAGGGGGAGAACAGGGAGCTGTGAGCAGCCGGCAGTGCCGGCCACAGAGCGCCCGGTGGGCCCCAAGCCCCCGCCACCTGCCCCCGACCCCGGAGCCGGCCTGCGGCGGCAGCTGCCCCGAGAAGCCACCGGCCGAGCCAGGCCTTCCGGGCACAGGAGGGGGCTGCTCCCTGGTCTCTGCCGCCCTCGGCCTCCCGCCCGCCTGCGTGGGCTCCAGACACCGGCTCTGACTAGGGCTCTCAGGGAAGCGGGCCTCCCTGCAAGGGAGGGACCCGGAGAGGGACCCACGGGGCTCCAGAGCGGGAGCGCAGGGGCAGTGGGGGAAACTGAGGCGCGGCGCTCCCCAACATCCCAAGCTCCTGCAGCATCCGTGCACGGCGTGGAGGTCCCCCTCGTCGGCCCAGCCCGGGGGGCCGGCGCCGCCCCCAAGGCCCGCCAGTCACGTTCCTGCCGGCCTCCCTCCCGCAGGCGCCGCCCGCAGGCTGCGGCCTCGGCACGGCCCCTCCCAGGTTACCTGAGGGCCCAGGCTGGTGTCCGCGGCGCACCTGCAAGGTGCCCAGCGCGCGGAATCCTCACACTGATAGCAGCCGCCACCGACCACTCTGCCGAGCGGCGTCGCGGGTACTCCTCCCAACGCCACCCCCCAGGCAGATTCCACTGCAGCCGCCATTCTACATCCGAGGCAACAGCGGAGAGAGCCGTGAGCTTTGCGGTCTGAAGGCCCTGAGCTGACGCCCCTCCTGCCCCTGCCTACCCAGCCTCGGGCCGTGAACCCCCAGGACCCTCGGTCTCTTCATCCGTGAAAGCGCGCGGGTCCTTGGAAGGACTCGATGGGCCGACGCTCACAGACGGCCTAACAAACCCGGTTTCAGGTCTTCCTTCGGCCTGTCCCTCAGGGACCGTGGACGGCGTCCCAGCCCAGCCGGCCCGAGAGGGCGGGGAGGGCCCGGAGCCCGGCTGGTCGGCGGTGCCGCCGGCGTCCGCATTTTCTCCGCTTGTGTCTGGCGAGCGCCGGGGGCTCAGGCTGCGCGTGTGTGCCTGGCGCGGGCCCTCAGCGTGTCTCCCCCAGCAGGGGTTTCTCGCCCTGCCAGCGCCCCCCCCCGGGGCCCCAGACAGGGTAGGCGGGCCGAGGCCCCTTCACCCTCCAACCTGGGGGCCTCCACCCCCCTGAGAGAGAGACGCGTGAGCCTGACGTGTCCGCTCAGAACGGCGGGCGGGAGAGGGCGGGGTGCGCGGGAGCCCAGTTCCAACCCCAGCAAAGACTGGTTGGTCCCGCGCGTCTCATCGCCGACACGGCCGGACTCGGGCCACGGCCCCGGGACTGGCACGTGGAGCCCGGGCCGGTCCTGGACCCTCGAGGGAGGGGCCGCGGGGGCCCTGGGGGCCCCCTCCAGCAGCAGCGGCGCCGCCGAGGTCGCTGCGGGTGCCAAGCCAGGGTTTGACCCTCAGGGCGCTCTCGGCCCCACCGGCCTGGGTCCTGGCGGCACGTGGCCAGGCGGCGACCCCGGGCCGCGCGGGCTGCGGGGGCCCAGGGAAGCCCGGGCCGCGGCCCCTGGGTGCGCCGGGCCCTGCCCCGCGTGCCAGCCCGGCTGCCCCTGCGGCAGGCAGGGCGCTGCACGCTGATTACCTCTGAGTGTTTACCCCGAGCGTTTCTGAACGTGCCTCCACAGGCGTCCGGGGACAGCGCGGGGCCTGTGACTCAGGACTCATCACTCAGCCGTCCCCCCAGGGGCCGCGCGCAGAGGCTCTGATGTGGCTCCAAGCCCCCCACCCCCGCCGCCCCCCACTAGCGGCCTCATTGTTCTCCCCTGGGGGGTGGGGGCTGTACCCCGCCCGCCCCCACATCCTGCCCCAAGACAACGCGGCCCAGCTGCAGGGCTCGAGCAAGGGGGTGGATTTCGGAGGGTCGGGGTGGGGGGAGCCCCACTTGGGCCTGGCCCTGTCACAGAAGGAAGAGAGGGGTGAGGCTGGTGCCAAGCGGGGGAGGGGCGGAGAGCCGGCGGAGGGAGGTCGGAGGCTTCCAGCCGAGAGCTTCCAAGCTGACGCCGGGGGCCCCAGGAGAGGCTGAGGGCCCCGCTGGCCCTGCTGGGGGGGCCTGCTCGGGGGGCCGTGCTGGGGCGGATGTCGGGGGCGTCCCGTGGAGGTGGGGGTCCTGAGACAGGGCTTCGCTGGAAGGCAGGCTGTCCCTGTGGAACCAACCCTGGGGGGCGCAGCGCAGACCTGCACCCGGGCCCGAGGCCTGGGGCGGGAGGGCGCCTGACCCCCGCGGGCTCGGGCTCGGCCGCGGCCGCGCTGGCGTGTCTGCGTGGCAGGGCAGGTGTTTATAAGGGGCCCCGTGTCGGGTGCAGGGGCTCCTGGATGCGCTGGTCTCGTGGGTTTGGGGCGCGTGTGCGTCATGTCACATCACGTGGAGGCCACAGTCTCCCGCGCGCCTGCAAGTCACAGAGGCGCGGGCGGGCCCCGCCAGGCCCACCCTGAGCTGGGGCGCCTGCCCGGTGGCTGTGGCCGCTCCCAGCCTCGGCTCGCCTGTCTGCGTCCCGGAGGGGCCCGGCAGCTCGCGGACGCCGCGCACACGTCCCGCCCGGGGGCTGCGGCCATCTGACTTCTCGCTGCCTCTCGGACCAGAGGCACATTCCTGCTGCGCTGGGCCCTGCCCATGGCCTCTCGGCCGCCCAGCAGGGCCTGGCGGGGGTGGGAGGAGGCATCCCCGGGTCCTCGGCCTGGACAGGGCCGTGGGGGAGGGCCGGGCCGGGCCGGCGGGAGGCAGCGAGGAGCGCCGCGGCCCTGGGCACGGGAAGTGGAAATTTCTGGCTGCACGTCAGGAAAATGTTCTCAGAGCTTCACCCTGTGGGGCGACCAGACCACCCAGGCTGCCAGGCGAGGCAGCATCACCATGGAGACCAGGAGCAGGTGTGATAAGAGGGGGCTGCCGGGGGACCGAGCAGAAACCAAAGGGCGGGGGACGGGAGACCGTTCCCCACAGCGACCGGGCGGGTCACTGGGGCCGCAGGGGGCCCTGCGCACGACTCCCGGGGTTTCTGTGGGGACTGTCCCCGCCCGGCCCCAGCAGAGGCCCAGGACACAGGCCCCGCCTGCGCGTGGGCCCCGGGGCCATCCCTGCAGCCCGGCAAAGGGCAGTCGCGTGACCAGAGATGAGCCCCGGCCCCGGGCGGAGCTGTGCGGCGCCCGCGTGCCCACAGCGCGGCGCGCGCTCCCTCGGCGCTGGCCACGGGGCTCCGGCCACATGCCACGCGGCCGCGTCACCCGCCGCCTCCTCGCCGCCGTGTCCCACAGCAGCGCTGGTCGAACCACAACGATGCGCGTCGAATGACCCCCGGGCCACGACCTTCCTCCAGGCGAGGGCTCCATCGGCCCCAGGCCCGCCCGGCCCCGCCGCCGGACCCGGATTCTGCCGCTGCTGCTGCCCGGGCCCGGCGTCCCCAGGGGCCTGCTGGCGCCCAGCTCCAAGCCGGCGCTCGGTCCGGGCAGCTGCTGGCGGTGCCCGCCCCCCCCCCAGCCGGGTGCCCTCCGCGGGGTCCTCCTCGGGACGCCTCACGTTCCTCCCTGGCCTCCCGCGCCAACAGCCGGCGGGAGCCCTGCCGTCCAGCCACGGCCGGAGCGTCTCCGGGTCCCCGGGGCGGCCTGCCCTGCGGTTCCAAACACTCCGCTGGCACGAGACGCTCTTGGGCTTCCGCCCTTTGTGCGCATTTCCAAGGGCGAGTGTGCACTTCACTCAGGAGAACCCGCCCCCTCCCCACACACACAGCCGCCCGGCGCGCTCGCTGGGGCTTAGCACGAAGTCCGGCGGGAGAACGGTGCTGTTTTCAATTTCTAGTGCACGCAAGTGTTTACCGATTCCAGAGAAGGGGAGAGGAAGACAGAGAATGCCGGTCGGCCGCCTCCCGCACGCTCTGCCACCAGGGATCGAACCCGCAGCCCCGGCGAGTGCCCTGACCGGGAGTCAGACGCACAGGCCCTTGGTTCACGGGACGATGCTCCCACCAGTCGAGCCAAAGGGTGAAGCCAGTGCCATGTTTTAAACCAGAGAGCTGTGGCTTACCCCGGTCGCGGCTCGGCCCGTCTGTCACGGTGTCTCCAGCCCGGGGCCGGGGCGGGGGGCAGTGGCAGGTCAGAGGGCATAGCAAGCGAGACACTGCGGGGCAGGCGGGCTGGGGTGGGGGGAGGATCAGGTGAGCCAAGAATTCGGGGGGCAGGAGGGAGGGACACTCCTCCAAGTCGGGCGAGAGAAAAGAAAAGAGAGGGTCCTTTTTAGCCCTGGTTTGAAGGCCACCGAAGCCGGGGACCGTCACTCATGGCGCGACGTTTGCCTGCGTGACGCGGGCCCCTCTCTGCGTGCGGGTGGGGTTCCAGCGGCCCCTCACGGGAGGGCTGTGAGCTCCCCTCGGGCCGGGACGCCCGCGCTCCCCGGGGAGCCAGCGAGGGCTGGGCAGGGTGGGGAGGGGACGGGCGCACAGGTCGGAGGTGGGGCCCCCTTTGTGAGAGACCACAGCCCCGAGCTCTGTGTGTTTAGCTGGAGCTCCTGGTCCTGTGGCCTTTATTCTGCCAGATATAAAGGGCCAGGGCGGGTCTGGGGCGAAGGCGGACAAAGGCCTCTACCAGGCCCCCGCCCCCGCCCCCGCGGGAGCTTTGCCCTCGCAGCCGGAGCCCCCCCCGCCCGCCCGCACCTGCACTCGCAGGGCGCCCACCGAGGAGCCCCCCGTGCCCCCGCCCCCCGCCCCAGGCAGCACACAGACGCCCAGCCAGACGGTTCTCTGAGCGGGACTGGGAGGCGGCAGGCGGGGGAGGCTCAGGACGTCCCCAAGCGCTGCCTCTGCGGGGCAGACACGGAGCTGGAGGCCGCACCGGCCCGTTTCACAGCCGGGGCTCAGCAAAAGCGAGGTCCCCCTGACACCCGAGCACCAGGCGCCCCCCGCACTCTGCCTCTCCCGTCCGCTCCACTTGGCTGTGTTTTGCAGGGACAGAGCCCTGGGACCT